ACCAGTGGCGTACTACTCATGCTCACAGGCTGAGTTTTATAGTACACAGGGAAAACTTCGACATAGGTGATTACGACATCAGCCATTTGTGCCACAACAGTAAATGCACCTATGTCGAACACCTGTCTGCTGAACCACACAGCATAAATGCAGACAGAGTGGCCTGTGTAAACAGGGGTGTGTGTAAAGGCCATGCACCTTTCCCAGATTGCCTTTTGGCATTGAAGTCATAGGAGAACAGAAAAACAAAGGCAAAGTATATGAAAAATACTATATCAAATAATATAGTAAAATTTTATTCATATTTCCTGATTTTCACCACAGTCACAGTTAGTTGTGACATAGCATTTATTCACAACACATAGCTTTAGAGACATTATGATGTATTTAAACTTAAAGTTACACAGTATCTGTCTTTAGGAAGTAATTAGCACATACAGTTCTGCAGCATCACTGCACATTTTCAATATTTTGAATAAGAATGTTCATGGTTTTTTGCTGAAACACGGTACAGGGTCTAACTGACCCTTTCTGTAGTCCCCACTCTGCTTGTCAGTCTGTTTAGACTTCAAATGTTCACAGATCTTGCTTCCATGCTGTGTAAGTTTCCTTTTCACAACACTGGGGCTTTTCTGATAGTCTTTGTGATAGGTAGCCTCCTTGTCCATTTGTTCAAGTGACCGCACAGCTCGGCTTGAAAGTTTCACCCCAGAATGGTCGCACTTGTCGATTGCTGATGTCCCAGGGCCATTGTTGAGCCTGTGAATTGTGGAAGAAGCCCTCCCAATCATGTTCCTTGAAAAGTTTACATTCTTTGGCAAAGAAATACTCAGTGATCGATTGGCAGCTTCACATTTCTGTGTGTCTGTGTACAGTTTCATTTGTTCCACCACTTCTACACTTAACTTCATTTTGAGAATTTCATTAAGCAAGTGTTTATCATTGTCATCCATATTGAAATGAGTGATACTGTTGCAGCCGAGGAACATGGATCGCTGCCACCAGCTGTTTGTTACACCTCCTCTACACACAACTAAGTACCGGGCACACCTGGAGCAGTCGCCGCTGTAGCACTTGAGGGTTGCTTCGAGCACTCTTGGTAAGATACTACGAAGTGTTTTCATGTCACCTGCATGATCTTTCATGAGTTCTTTTAGTATCAGGCTGCACCGTGCTTTGACATCCTGGCTCAGCACCTTCTTTGCTTCCATTTTATGTGTACGAGTAGTGCCGGGGAACATATTTGGGTTAAAATCAGCTCTGTAACATTGTCGGAACTGTCCTTGAGCCAAGTGGGTTGGGTCAGCTAGCCTTTGCACCTTCCACATTGGGTCCAACACTTTGAGAGCTTTGTCTACTCCATCTGCAGACTTCGAATCCCCATCGGTTGTGGCATACTTTATGAGTACACCCTGTAGTGCGAGCTGATTACCAATGTCCTCTCCCATTTTGAACTCAGAGAATGGAGTGAAGGCCGACATGTTCGCAGTACAGTCTGGGTGCCCCCCTGGACATTTCACATCCATGCCTTTTCCTTTCAGCCAGGCACCAGTCCAGCAGAGCTTATTCTGGAATGACGCACTGACGATGAACTTCTTTTGTCAGTAACAGTTTCGCAGGCGATGCCGATTGCTTGTGATGCATTCTGCCCTGGCTTCTTCCTGCTTGCTATTGTTGTCGAGTTGTATCGGCCATCCATAGCAATGTTCATCTCACACGGCTCAGTACCCCTCTTTCGATTAACTTCCTTCACTAACTCCACCTTTTCTGCCATATCCTTAGTGTTAAGTTCAGTTACAGCCTTAGCCACCTTGTTGGAGGTCCTCTGCATACTGCTCCTGCATGGGGGTGGAATGTCCATGTTGGCCATCAGTAACCTCGCTCTCGTATTTCCTATAGGTGTGTCCTGTAGACCCAAGGCAAGTCCCACGTTGGGTGCTGCTGGGTTTGGCCCAGGTTTACCCGTCTCGATTTCTTTGTATAACTTCATTTCAGGTGCTACAAAGTCACATGTGACACATTTCAGTGTTATTTTCCAGCATGCTCCCATTTTCTCTCCTTGGCTATCTGCAGCTGAGGGTCGTCACAGTCACTGGATGTTGACCGATGCAGTCGCAGAGCTGTGTTCCATGCTTCGGCCACCTTTTCATTGTCGACTAGTCGCATACCCTCCAAGTCATCTTTGCTTGACTCTTGTTTCAGGTCATGCTTGCTCGTTGAAGTGGGACGCAGCAGCCTCACTGAAGTAGAGATGCCATCGCAGTCAGGTGTTGACAGCCCAGTGCCATCCAGCCTTGACTTGGTGACCAGGGAGAAGTCTTCTGCACTCAACCTAGTGACTGTCCTGGGTATCTGGGGTGGAGAGGCACCTTTCCGACTCTTCCGATTCAAGGGTGAGACCTTTGTTCCAGGGAGTATGGCCTTTGCTGAACTGTGACTTGATTCTCTTGCGGTCGCCTTTCATCGTGATTGTGTCGAATAGAACTAATGAGCTCTGAGCACAGCATGTACTTATATATCCCATCTCTGTGTGTTGTCACTGGCACTGACAAGCAGGTATATGTATTAGAAAATGTATTGGAAACTCAAGACATACACATGTCTTGCGCCACTGGTGTAAATCGCAGTTGAGCCATACACACCTACTGACACTTTGTCGCGTATTGGCCAGGTGTCAGGTGAGAGTGGACATGCTTGGTGACTCGCTGCACTTGATTGGCTGTACTCAGCTACTTGTGCAGCCAATCAATTTAACGAGGAAAGATAGGGCTTTCTAATGAATACAAATTTAACAGTTTCAATTTTCATTTTTGTTGAAAAATATGAACTTTAATGGAATTATTTTAGTATAAAATGCATGTATGTATATAAAAATAGAGAAAAAAAATGAAAAAAATGCTTTAATGGACTGAAACCATTGTCCTTTGATAGCACATGCAATAACAAAAGAGGAACACTTGATGTTTTTTGTCAATTTCCACCTGGTTATGGAGTTATAGACAAATTAGAATTGTGTTTGAAATTAATTCATGCCCAAAATTAACACTCAAATGCCAGAGATACAGCATGGAGTAAAAGCAGTATAAGTCAAGTTGTGTATGAGTTAGGGCTTTCAAATTTTCTGTGAGCCTTACATAGTGTCTGGGCTTAGTATTGATTAAGTTTTATTTAATTTGCAGACTTTTTGGTGTCCTGATATGTAGACCTGGGCCATGAGCCGCCATGAAAGGAACGAGTTCAGGGGTGAGCACCTGGTCGCGGTAAGCAGCAGCTGTGAGGTTTCCACGTTCACGACGTCGTCTCCAGACTCTATGCCTGCCGTCCGCGAATCTGAGGGTAAACCTGGATTCATCGCTAAAGACGACTCGATTCCAGTCTCTCTGGGTCTATCGGAGGTGACGTTGGGCCCACAGCAGACGTTGACGTTGATGAAACGGCGTCAATATTGGCCCACGATATGGACGTCGAGAATGGAGATTGGCAGGCCGCAACCGATTTCGAATGGTCTGTGAGGACAGTCGACCTCTAAACATCTCAGCCCTGGTTCGTGTAGCCGGCAGAAATCTGTCACGTAGGTGACGTAGGACGATTTGACGGTCGTCTGCTCGTGACGTCACACGTGGACGACCCGACCTTGGGCGATCAGAAGTGGTGCCAGTTTGTTGTAGACGACCTCGCAAGTCATACACAGTACGACGGCTGCATCCCATTGCTCTTGCGACGTCAATAACTGATCTTCCCGCTTGCAACATGCCAACGGCACGTTCACATTGCACATTTGACAATCGTGGCATTTCAAGTACCGTTAGAACTGTGGTTTAAAAGTGTTTTTTCAATTCTTGAGGCCAATGCAAACACGTGCATATGAAGAAAACTTCGATGCGAAGATCACGTGATCGACTGCACGTGCAAAACCTGATTTGGCACTAACGTCATTTGCACGACGAATGGATGGGTTTGAGTGGGTTTTTCTAACGTTTTTCTAGAGTCGAAAGATAGGGATCCAATTTCGGATACATAGATGTATCATCAGAGAAAAATTATTCATTATTTGTCAAATTACATTTTGTGAAGTTTCTTTTTTGACTCAGTATAGTTATCTGATAGAACAATGTGAATACCTACAACCAAAGCTTAGACGTAGTTATCGGCCATGAAGCATAGTTTTCAAACACTTTTGGATAATGTTATTTCATCAAATATTTTAGGAGTGTGAAGCTTTGATTGACCATATCACTGGAATTTAGCTCTATTCCTATACTGTATTAAACATTAGACACCAAATGAGTTGTTTGGATTTCATATCAGTACAAATTTAGTCCTCCACTAAGTATATGTAGTTAAACTACAAGGGTGGCCATTTTGGCAGTCATTTTGAATTCTGGGTAATATATAAAAAATCCTAATAACACGAAGTCACTCTAGAAGTAAAGAGAAAACAAAAACAACTTGTTTTAGAAACATAAATAATGTTAACTGCCATAAATATATCACCCTCACACATTTCCATGAAAAGTCGGAGAATTGCTAAAATACCCCTGTCTCAAAGAATAAGCTGTAAAACATTAAATTACCAAGATATGACCCACAAAATGACTTGTGTTGTGCCCAAGCCATCACTCTAGGAGAAACAAGTGTCAAAACACATCAAAAATATCAACTTTGGATGTACATGGAAACATTCGGTGTTCATTTTTATGTAAATTTAAGTGCTGAGAAGGCAAAACACGACAAAACAAAATGGCGGCCATTTGGGTTTTTTTCAAAACAAAATTATGTCAAATAATTTCTACACAGAAGTCAAAATGAAAGTGATCAGATTGATAGCAGTAAAACTACCAATGATTAACTTTGAGGTGTTGTCGGGCAGCAAACCAAATGTGACGAAAATGCTCGCAGACCCCAAGCACATATAATGGCCTGTGAAAAAAAACTGATACCATAATCTGAGAGTATTTACAGGCCTTTTCATGAGCCCAAGACAATCAGTACTGGGGAGGCTACGAAATCCTTTTTCTATTAAATGAAAAGTGATAGCTCCACACGTTGTGTGCTAACGATGATGTGGTAAGGATTGTCAGTGGGATTTACATCTTATAAATAATGACAATAAAGTGAGTCCTGATATATCCTACATAGCACTGCCCTATGACAATTAGCCAATGGAACTGAATTGTAACGTTCAGTTAGAGAAAGCCACTGAAACGAACGCAATGACAAAATACATCAAATGTCACCGGTCCCCCGGACGAACAAGTACTTAACCAATATCCTCGATCCTTGACCGTCGCCTGGTATGCGTGACCGCGGTCAAGGTTGACGTATTCCTGCCTGTATAGCTGTCACATTTTGTCTTGTTTGTGTTTGTCAAAGTCGACAGTCGACATTGTTAGAAACAACTCTAAAGATCAACACCATTTCCTAAAATACGTGTTGTCTTGCATGGGCCTCCTTCGATATTTTTTATATCATTACTGAATTTAAACATACTGTGAATAAAAAATGCTAAAATTTCACGTCCAAAAAAACGCCGATACATATATTTTAAGGAAGAAAGAAAAGTTATCTACCAGCTTGTTCGATGTCGTAAAGGTTTCAAATGAATGAACTTTAACCGTGTTTAATGTCATATTTTGAGCGTATTAAATCGTGGAATATTTGAGTAATACTAAAATGCGCCAAAGAGACTGATTTTGAAAGGTTTTGATGAGACTGATGGTTTAGTAGGACTCGACAAAACAATATACATACATACGTCGAACAATTTCAATAATGATATGACATCTATGTTTAAGCACACTCCGAGACGATAGGCCATAAACATGTATTCTCTAATTACATTCAATTACTGACAGTAACATGTGTTCACTAATTACATTCAATTACTGACAGTAACATGTGTTCGCGAACATGTTTTGTTTAGAATTACGGATTTTGTATTTGGCAGAAATATATATAAGTGAATATTTACACCGAAATTATGAAATTTATGAAATATGCAAACTGTTTTGTTTAGTTACAGAATTCTGACATTTTGTACTATCAATCTCCTGTCACATATAATCCACTAGACATGTAGCAGCGGCTGGTGTTTATATCCTGACTACCAGAAAGTGAGACATGATGTATGTATAATGTTTTCATCAGTACATAGTCTGTCTAGAGGAAGGTAATATTGAAAAACACCACTTTTCACTGTCGATCTGCCTGCCCACAAGGACAAACAAGGTATGTAGGCTTCAATGCATTCCTGCTACTTTCAGTTCACTGATGCATCAGCAAATTAAATAGATAAAAACTCGTCTTGCAAAGTAAGGCTGCAACTAATATCCCAGCTTATGCTATCAGTTACTAGATTTCATGGAGATATGCTGCGTACGCAAGCATAAATTGTACAGGGTGTAAGGACCAGTGCACAAAACGGAAGATCGTATTGTTGTCTACTCTAGGTAACAAGCTGCAACGATGTCGGACATTGACCAGTACGACTATGTGCGATTCACTGTGGGCGACATACATGGACGGGCCAGAGGAAGAGTGATTCCTGCGAGGCATGTGAAGAAGTTTTTGGAGACAGGCATAACCCTATATGGAGGTATGTTTAAATTGTTGTTGTTTTTTTATTTTTGTAAATGTTGGAATAGATATTCGGTGTTAGGTGAACAACTGACTTGTGTTTGTGACGGCTGTCCCCCATGGGACAGGATAGCCTATAGTACCTTTTTTGCGCGAACATCTGATCACTGATTGATACTGATTCATAAAAACATGGGTAACGTCCCAAACCTTAGACACCCATATCTTAGACACCTTAAAACAACAACATTTCTGATTGAGTGGAAACGTGATATAGTCAGAATTATTCACTCGAGATTTCTCATGAATATGGAAAAGACTGCGTCCCTTTTATTCCCAATAAAGATCACATATACTCTAAGGGGGTACAAATACATAAATCACTAATTGGCATTGTTGTTAATGAAACCCCGTCATTAAAACTACTCATTTCTATCTTTAATTAAACTTAAATCGACCTTTTTGACAATAGTGCACAATTCTCACCCGCGAACGAAATTTCAACCAATCAGAGCGGCGCGTCTCTGACGTCATATGAGGAATAGATATGAAGGCCGATGCAGAATTCATGTACATATCAGGGGGTAAATTATCTTGTTTACAGGTTTGTATAAACCTGAAATTGTGACAACTGTTGTGAATAATGAAAGCTATATGTTCTCACAATCTACTGACATTTAATTTTGTCTCCTGCTTTGCCTAGTTTCCGAGTTACAACTTGTTTTCATAGACGATTCTGTCAAAATCGCTTGGTGTCGCTAGGCCGGTGATCAGCCTCGCTCATCACGGTTACGGATTTCTTCAACTGAAACAGTGCGACATTAAGAAGGGTGGATGCCCATCAGATGCAGTTATTTGAAAATATCCCGGTAGTTCTTGTCTGATTGTAATAAAGTATCAAAGCAGTGGGGGCTTTTTCAGGTTTTTTAATGCCTGGGTGGTATTACATTGATTGATTGCTCATTATTGACTGATCCAAATTGATCCCATTTCTGTGTTTTTTTACCTCTATATTTAATCATGTCATGTAAAAATATGACGTCTATTACGTATGATATTAAAAAATGACATTTGATTTATTTGAATCCGTAAACAAAACAACCCTACTTTGCCATTGCTAGAAGAATCTGAAAATTTACTTAGGTAAATAGGTACATACAGTTTTAGCACACAACAAATGCTTATATGTATTTCTTACGCAACAATGAAGTTCTGTTCGTATTCTCAAAACTGTGTCAGCCCATAAGTTTTCACATACAATTAAAATTGCATGCAATACAGCAATTAATACTCACTTCTTGTAACCCGTGTTAGGTGGTATAAACCTACACATGTTATTTGTCATCATTCACTTGATGGTCAGTTAATGAATTTATAACAGGTAAAATTAGTGGTAACACCACTTAGATTACCCGACAAAGGTTCCCATTTGGCATTTCTTGTATCTGGAGTAAATACTCAACATTATAAACATCGATCAAAGGATTAACCGATAACACGCTGATTGATTAATTACTTTTATCTTGCACAGCGGATTTGTCAAAAGGTAGTGTTTATGTTTGTAGATTTAGTAATCTATACTGAATACACTCTGTCGTGTCTGTGTCTGCGTAAAAACAACGTCCTTCTTTCAAAGGATTAACCGCCAATACAGTGATTGATTGCTCATTATTGGCTAACAAAATAACTTTTTTTTAAACAATGGCATACATTATGCAATTAGTTGCCAGGTGTGCTATCTTGGGTGACCAATGAGACTACACCAGTGTGAAATACCTGAAATGATATATCACTTTTTGGTATATTAGAGGGGCGGTGGGGTAGCCTAGTGGCTAAAGCGTTGGCTCGTCACGCCGAAGACCCGGGTTCGATTCCCCACATGGGCACAATGTGTTAAGCCCATTTCTGGTGTCCCCCGCCGTGATATTGCTGGAATATTGCTAAAAGCGGCGTAAAACTAAACTCAGTCAGTCAGTGGTATATTAGACTGTTAAAAGACATCACTTGGAACAGCTGCAGATGAATGGCATATCACTCGTTTTTGTGGATATTGATGGATACATTCCTCGAACAAGGTAACAGCCTGACATTGTTCCTATAACTTTAATCTGTTTAAATTTTAATATTTCCATTTTGTTTTTATTCATTTGTCGTAGCATTCAACAAAATCATTGTTTTCGCCGTGAAGTGTAATGAGACAGACAACATACACTAGGGCGTGTGTGCGAATTATGATTCACATTGGCAAACTATGAAATGTCTAGATATTACTGTTATAAATTCACTATAAGTATCAGCAGATCGTCTGCTTTTTATTTAGTTTCAAAATGCATACAAGTATGATAATAAACTAATTAGGAATATAAGACCAAATATAAAGACGTACATTGACTAGTATCTACATACTGGCGAGTGGACATTAACCACGTGAATGAAGCAAGAAATTTATCGCGCAGTATTGTCACTTCGACAATACCATCTCGCTTCCGTGGAAGAAATCGTTATGTTAAAAGTTGTGTCATGCAAAATCCTTTTGGTCATGAATCAAATACATATTTAACTACGAGTAGAAAGTAGTTTTCATTTTCTAACTCGATGAAAACAAACCATAATCTCATTAATTCCCACAGACTGTAGCGCGTGACTTTACGATTTTCAAAAATGGCGGCGCCCTGTCGCAAACATCCGCCAGTCTGAGGATAAATGCTATATTTAGGTTTGTTTTCACCGACTGACAGTCGATGGATCACAAACATCATCTCGTGCAATTGCCCTCGATGACATGCCACCATTCCACATACCAATAAATTGCCATCTTTCATCAGTTGTCAGTTGCGGATGCCCCATATTTGATTAACGACAACGAAACTGATTTTCTATGTCATCGAGCTGTAGAAATATTTGCTTAATGGCGGGTCCTCGTAATGCACGTCATGTTCGCATTTGATCTCAGCGCGTGCATATCTAAAAATAATCTTACATATATACATAATATAATGTATGAATATAAATGGCTATGTGGAGGCTAAAAATCAAAGGTGTTGCGATACGTTTTTCTATCTGTGTACAATACTCATAACCATTCTAGTACCGGAGTCAGGCACCTAATCGCCACCACACGAAGTCAGCGATCTAACCCTCTCAGCCACTGAAGGTTCCACAAAAAGCAATGGCTGGTGGAGAAGAAAGGGGTATGAGAGAAAGACAAGTCACAGTAGTGGACTGAAAGGAAATTCAAATGAGGATGGGAAAACATTCATTACACAGAAATGTGTATTCAAATTTACTAGCTGTAACCTTGATCAACTTCTGAGCAAGAGTGGCGTGACGCTCCTTGAAATCCTGTTAAAAAGAGCACGCTCGATTGTACCTCAAAAGTTGTAATCAATGCAAATGTAAGCACCAAAGGCTGGAGCTGTTGGAATATTGTTCGACATGAAAGGGGAGTTGACTATTGGAAAGTTGAAATCATCCCCGTCTCACTTGTCTCCTTAATTTCAATTTCAAGTTCAACGGCGAATAGTACCATAAATATGTCAAGAATATCTAACCTGATAATACACTGCCTATCATCACTTAAGAAATCCATCATATCATGTATGTAAAGAGAAAACAGCAAGGAGATAACAGGCAGCCCTGTTTTACCTCAGTCAAAGAATTCACTTGGACCATCATTACGTGAAATACGTGACTTAACATTAAGATACATATCCTTTATAAGCCGAAAGGTCCTTCCTTGACGTAACATGTCAATATTTTACATAAACATTTCTAAAAACTGAATTCAGAGTCAAATGCAGAGTCAGGCAAACATACTTCCCTGTTCAGTCCGATTTTATTAATAGCGGGTGCTACCAGTAGGGCAGGACATGTGTAACCTTTTCGCGAACACTTGGTCTCCACTCATTTTCATTTATCCATTCATGTATTGTTCACGATTTTTTCTTCCTTTACGCCAAATCGAATTCGTTTCTGAGGACAGTAAAGACTGGGTATTCTTTTCGCGTATGGTATATATGTAAGTCAATAAATGACAGGCCACACTTGTATAAAGCAAAATGCTTTGTAATGATTGAGTCTAACACCAACATATTGTCAAGAGTCTGAAAATCTTTGCGAATCCCAGCCTGCCGTAGTATTAAGAGGTTGCTGCTTTCTGCCCAGTGATATAACCGATTACACCTTTTTAAAATCTTGCCAGAGGCATCGAGAAGTGTGATTGTCCAATAGTCACCGGGAATGTTAATGTGTCTCTTCTTATACAGGGTTATAATGATAGCTGTCTCGGGGTATATGCCTATTAATATAATGGAATTGAACAATGTTAACAGTAATTCAACAAAACATTTGGGTGCACTGGAGCTGACAACGAACATACGATTATACACTGTGACGAGCAGCTAGTTCTTAGAGCAATTGACAAGTAATCCAAGTTTCAGGAAGGTAATGCTAAAATTCACCAGTTGGTCCAATCGGATAACTCGCCCTGATAATACAAAACAAGCAACAATATCAATGTGGTTTAATTTTCATTGTTTAAAGAAATACTATAAGAAAACGCTTTGGCGTGAAAGCTACTGATATGAAGAATATATAACGTGCAATATTTCAACAGATATGATTTGTATATAGTTTAATGTTAATTTATTACTAATTTAATGTACTGCTTAAAATTAGTAGTTGTTGTTTTGAGTAGTCATCAAAGTAATAATAATAAAAAACGTGAACATATCATGTTCTAGTTTCAGTTTATGTGTAAATAGTGTAGAAAAACACATTCTCCATTACGATTAATGCATGAAAACGCGATTTGGGGCTGTTATATATAAAAATGTGCCCAAAACACGTCAGAATGAATCAGTCGCCGTGTATATAAAGAAAAGGATTTGCATATGTTTTATGTGGATACGTCTGTCAACCGTCAGTAACGTAAAACTCACGTCTCGTCGACAATATGTGGACGACAAACAAGTTATGACGTCAGTTCTTTGTTATGTGTGTAACAATATCGGTAAACCTTTCATGACAACATCCATCGGAATACAAATTAAGAATATGGTGTCTTATCATAGCAGTCAGTAGTCGAACTATGACGTCACAGCCGCAGTATGACGTCAGTGTTACGAAAAAACGTTTAGTGTCAGGAAAAATCATGTAGCGGTTTTTGTCAAGTGACGTCAAATCTTACATACTGCGATGAAACCTTGAATGGAGACACGTGTCTTGTTTCATACTCCCTGGGAGTAAATGAGCGGGACAGGTAACTTATCTTACTGGCGAGGTATTCTGGGCTGCCGTGTAGACTGATCCATGACTGGGTGCCGTGTACCTGTTACCTTGAGTTGTTTGGCAACAGAAACGTTAACGTAATACGACGTTACCTTATAAACACAACATTGACGTCATGTATGCTGACCGTCGCGTCGTATGTAGGGTATATATTTCAAAAGATACCCGAATACAGACACTGCATAATATGTGACACTCCAGCGGTTCGCAGAGTGAGTGAGTGAGTGAGTGAGTGTCAATTTATTCACCTTCGCTTTTTCGTTACAGGTTTCCTGACATTTGACCTTAAGAACGAAGACGTCCCCATATCCATAGACGACCCAGACTCCAAAAGAATTCCTAAAGCGTTTGCAATAGCTGATCCAAGTACTCTCTACGCTGTACCATGGGCAAGTGAGAACGGATTGAAGGTTGCTGACATCATCTGTGAAAGTTACTGGTTGAAAGATAAGACGAAACAACTGGCATGTCCCCGATACGTTGCTACACAACAACTGGAGAAGCTAGCAGACCATGGCTTCAGCTTCTTCTCTGGTTTTGAATTGGAGTTCCTGTTGATGAGACCAGGTGAAACATCGTCACAGCAGTATGATCTGATGAATCAACGCCTTATAACGAAGCACAGCGATTTTCTATTTCACCTTGAAAGGCATATGTACCTTGCTGGCGTTGATATTGAAAATATTCATGCTGAGTATGAAGCGAACACCTTTGAAGCTGTCCTTAAGCCATCCTATGGGATCACAAGCGCAGAATCTTGCTTTAAGTTCAAGACTGGAATTTTAGAAATAGCTGATAAGAAAGATCGCATTGTCAGCTTTCAGTCAAAACATAATGTGGGGGAAATTGGAATGCATTTCAACCATTCCCTTTGGTCATTATCTGATGGTGTCAACGTCTTCCATGATCCGGGAAGTCGGGATGGCCTCAGTCCGTTAGGTCAGTATTGGTTGGCTGGAATTCTGAAACATTCAAAAGCCCTGACTGCCCTATGGTGTCCAACCAGCAACTGCTTTGAGCGTTTGCACAAACCTAATTTACCAGGGCCAATCTTCTGGAGCACTGATGACCGAGCGGCTTGTGTGAAACTTAAGTCTTTGGAAACTGGAACATATCTGGAACATCGTATTCCCAGCGGGATGAGCAACCCCTACCTCACCATGGCGGCCACCATTGCTGCAGGTCTTGACGGGATTGTGAAGAAGATGGAGTGTCCTCCTGTTGACGAATTCTCCCAAGGCGCTCTTCCTTGCACTCTGTTGGAGGCGATAGATGACCTTGAGAGGGATACGGACATGGTGAATAGTTTGGGTGTTGAGTTCGTTGAATGGTTTGTTCGCACACTCAAGAGTGACACTGACCCATGTGTTTTGAAGAACAGATACACGTCAACACACTGAAGGGAGTTATCCCAGTTGATATCCCAACTGATAAATATGTATATACGTATCACTGTCATTATTTAACAGGAAACGTTCGATATCCCAACTGATAAACATGTAGATACTACTTGATATATGTATATGTATAATCGTCATATTTAACAGGAAACGTTCGCTATCCCAACTGATAAATATCTAGATACTACTTGAACTCTAAGTACGTACATGTATCATCGCCATTAATAAACAGAGAACGTTCGACTTACTAACGCTGACACTATGGGATATTTACCAATTTAACGGCACGTCAACCTAATCCAGAATGTAGCCACACATGTACTCTTTTATCAAACTTCGGATGTTTGGAAGCAGTTAGCAAAGGCAACATATTGTTGTTACATTCCTATGCAATGAAACCGTAAAGATGCCTGCGTGTGGTCTATATACTTATAGCCTGCACTGCTTGGTCCGACAAATAAAATGTAAAAAGTCACATCTAAAAAGAGCCTTTCAATTTGTTTTCCGGGCGGAAACCTTAAATCACATGGCCATGAGCAATAGGTTATGAATCCGCATAAGAAAGCATTAAATTACTTGCTTTTGCGATAGCTATCCCTTGGAAACATGGTCTTGAAAGAAATAAAGAACGGGTTTGCAGCAACTGCTCCATTACGTTAGTTGACTATCCACTGACAGAGTGGCTAGTTCAGCCTGACATCCCAATAACGTGTATTATCATCCTGCAAACTGACACTGAAATACGACAGGGCCATACAGGCAAAACACAATACCTTCAACATTGTTAATCTGAAGTGTATAGAGGCTATTCAGGTTTTCGCATTTGAAATGTTAACATTTAGAAATGTGTATTATAAAGAACCCAGTTACCAAACTCGATTTTTGGCCTTTTTTCGATGAAACTATTAAAGTATCTTGTACTCAGTCATTTCAGCTATTTCGTTATATTCAATTAACGTGAAAAACTCTTCCCAAATATGAAACCGATGCGTGGAATACTTTCATTCTTGCTGGAGAAATACCTGTGTTGTGGGAGTGACATATATATCCGGATATTAACACTTACATCATAACACCCTTCAATGGTATTTTAAGTACAAAGCATAGTACCTGTTCAGTGTTCCATTAAATGTATACCATACTTTTATGTGATTGCCTGTGAGTTAAGCATTCCAAAATATTCCATTGGCTCACTGATCACTCTACACTAACGTTATATAATGCTTGAAGTTTTTAAACCACAGTAATTCTATGCATTTCGTGATGAAATATATTGTTTAAAAATGTAGTAAATATATTTCTCCAGAGTGAAATCATACCTTTTGCAGGGACCTTTTCAGCCAGCCTGTTTTCAAACTGAGATCGGTTAGAAAATACATTACGCCCTTATCATGAACGTATGAAAACAGCATGTTGAAATCTAAACAATTCAAGCAAGGATCTACTCTGATACCATAGTGAGACAGCAAAATAGGTCAATATGTCAGTGCAATCGTTTATACAACTGTATTCATGTAAAACGAAAACTGGGTGTTGGGGAAGAATAAAGTATTATCATCAACTGTAACACATCGTGTTTTTGTGTTGTCATTGTATGCTATGGTGCAAAAGCTGTGCATGTGTTACAAGACTTGGTTGCCCTTGGGGTACTAGGTGTGTATTTACGCTGTAGTCATAAAGATGCGCCCGTGGTAAACCTGTCCGAAGCCCAAAAGGTAAACGATGGTTACTTTGCCAATCAAAATCGTGGTCACATATCCATTCACTGTTTCTAAGTGATTCATTTCAATATTTTTGCCAATGTTTTTCATCAATATATTGACCTTGCAATCTGTTTCAGCAGATAAATGTTGTTTCTTATTCCACCAACCTGCGGGTCATCGAGCCTAAACATCTATAGTGGGATGTACGATACACTCCTTTGGTGGACCCCAGTCAGAGGATGTCATTGATATCATCTGTTTGGCTGTCAGGCGTGGAGACATAGTTGATTGCGTGCCATCGATTGGCGCCGAATGTTTATTGTGATATCAATTACTGGTTTGTCTGATCCAGGCTTGATTGGTGGGAGGCGGTCACATGTGTCTCTATTATTTCTAGTTCACGTGGTGTCACTGGCGCTTCCGTCATTAAATGAAGACGCTTGATAATTCAGTTCTCAATTAATTCATTTTTGGGAGAAGGAATCATCTGAAGATAATCTACACATAACATTACATGCTAGCTTTATGTTAGAAAACAATGAACGTGCGTTGTTGGGCATAATGAGGAAGGGGAGTTAAGGATAAAATATTTTCAAAAATAAATCAGACAGGCTTTCTTGAAAAAACATATTCATTAACGATGTCCAAGATAGAACGCCGAATCTTCTATTTTAGAAATACAGTTTAGTCTAATGGCGTGAAGAAATGTTATACTTATACCTCAGCTCTCGCATCATCTTATGAGAAAATATGAAGACGGGTGATACCAAACCGCATCAGTTTTAAAGAAATTCAATTTAGTGTTGTTTTCTTGGTACATATAGGACACACGATGATGAAGGTATTGTGCAGCATTCGATATAGATTCAAGATGGATCAGTGTATAACCAGACTTCTTGACAATTTACTAGTACATGTTTCTAATTTATTATTTTGTTGTCGTGGTTCAAAAAGAGATTCCATATTTTATTGATTAATTGGAGTAAAGACATTTTTTCAGAACGAATATCCATGCAACGTGTTAAAAGAAAAAGAATATATAAGGTACCTTCTTCTTTATCATACTAGTTCTGTAGGTGCTGGAAAGAGTGAGTGAGTTGGGTTTTACTCAATATTTAGCAATAGTCCAAGAACATCACGGTGTGGGACACCAGAAATGGGCTTCATACATTGTACCGATGTGGGGAATCGAACCCGGCCTTCGTCAAGATGGTCGACCGCTTGAACTCCAAAACTGAACTACCATCCCGGTACCAACCCCATCCTCATCGTGAACCAGAACAAATACAATGTCGGTACTGAAACAGATTCACCGAGTCTCATATGGAAATAAATGACAAGTTTTTGATAAAGTATACATCTATTAGACACAAAACAGTTGCTCAATCGTGGTATAATAATAGCAACGTCGTTAACGTCAAATGCAAATACCCAACGTACCAAATCCCGACGCCCCGCAAACAAAGTTGGATACCTTCCATCACGTACCTGACGCTACCAGCGATTGTTAATGGTATTGCATATTAAAGTCCGACTTGATAATTAGATAATTAGAATGTACTAAATATAATCATTTCGAATATCATTGGATGATGCCTATTTCTGATGTCCCCCGCCGTGATATTGCTGGAATATTCCTAAAAGCGGAGTAAAACCAAACTCACTCACTCACTCTAGCAGTGGAACTGAATAACCTGTCAAAAAATTACAATAACTTGGTTCAATGATGAAAGGGTGGAAATCATAAATGGCATACTATAATACAGTATACTCTAGATCCTAATACTGTCCGGTCACTTGATGTCTGCCTTAACTTTTCGCTTGTAAGAGACAGAAACGTCTTGCCACCCGTGACGAGGTGACACCAGTGTGACAGATGTATTCGTATTTATCTTTTCCTCCCCAGGTCGATTCTGGATTTGTGTTTTTGAATCATAGATTCACATGATTAATATCCTTGGGGTTTTGTAAAGTCTGAGATGTGCATGACTTCGGACTTTTCTCACGCAACACGTGATATAACAGGAATATATTTCAAATCTAACATACGGAAAACCTAATGTCATGACCTAAACAGGGAACCAGTCATCTCAACGTCCTGTAATCCAGTGTCTATGAAAAGGCCGAGTTTGTCGCGCCTGAACCGAATTAAACGGCATATGTATAGCTCGCGATCGCAGTGATCTTTCAGTTGGGCACAGAAAATCCAACTGTCAAATGCATAGGTCACAGTGACGCTCTTACATCCGCCTTGAATGTATGTATCGCGGTGACCTTTCAGTTATTCATGTAAGCTAATTTTCAGGTCATGGTTGAACATCTATTCCAAGATATTCCTGTGTTGGCGTTGCATGTATTCACACTATTTGCCAGCTGCACAACCGACAAATAAAAAACACGAGCGCACAATGTACTTCATGACCAATATTACCCGGTCATGCTCGGGTAGGCAACACGCTGTAGGTCTGAGCATGTCCCATTTAGAATTGAGTCCTGGCGTAAGCTTTTCAGATACACGTATCAAACGATCGGGTCATGCAAACGAGTTGACTGAAACTCAACATTAGTAACCTGTAGTTAATCACCAACATTGAAAACGCGCCACTTACAAAAGTTCAGTTTACTAGTGATTGTCCTGTGATTGTAATCTATTCCACCCCAGACCATGACGCTCCCACCATCCAAAGGTCTGTCTGAACCATACACTCATCAGCATATCGTTCACTACATCTACGCCAAACACGTAATCGGCCGTCAGCATTACGTAGATGAAGACGTGACTCGTCTGTGACTACCACACCATGCCATTGTTGTAACCTTTACTGAAAATGCTTGCTAGCCCATTGTATACGCTCATTACGGTGTCTGTCAGTCAGAATTGATCCACCGTAAGAACGTCGAGCATGGAGCCCTGTAGCGTGTAGACGGCGTCGCATTGTGTCAGCGCTGACTTTGAACTTTGAACTAGTACATCAGTCCTGGCAGTCGGCGGTGTTCGATCACGGATATGGTCAAGATCAATATGGCGATCCTGACGGGGCGTCGTGACACGTTGTTGCCAAGGTCGCTGAAGGTCACGGGTGCTGCCTCTCTGCTGATGTTGTCTATGAAGCCTAACGATGGTGGAGTGGCCAAGCCTAAGTTGACAAGCAATATCCCTGCTGCTGGTGCCAACCAGAATAATGAGTGGTACACGTTCTCTTTCGTGAGGTGTTAACCTCGGCATATCTGTCCTCGTTTCACAATCGTTAGTGAAGAAATGATAATCGTTTCTCATACACCTGTTTTCAATGTCACAGTCAGCATGAATTCGGAATGAAATTTGCGCTTTTTTCATGGCGTGGCTGCATGTTGATGCGTTTTGGAATTAAGAGTCATACTGCGAACAGGAATTTGTTTCTAAAGCTTGTTTTCATCTAGACATGCCCTTCGACTTGATGTTGAATGTTCATTGATCATTGTCATGCTGAAATCCGTCTTGGACGATTTTAGACTGGTGCGTTTTCAATGTTGATGAGTATATAACCACAGAGTTATAGTGAACTTTGGCCATTAAACAATACATCACGTGAGTAACCAAGGATCCAGATATTACTCAGTTCCATCCTCCCGAGTTCAATCAATCAATCTTTATTCTGTACTGAAGAGACCACAGGCATATAGTGCATAAAACGTACATACATTTATATTCGCCCGAATAGTAACATTTACAATTTTTCAAATATTATTATTTTTTCTTTGTAATGTTGCATGGAATATAAACGTTGATAAATTCTGAAGTATTAAAAGGTTTGTACTGGTTAGTTATGATAAAAATTGAATATCGTTTGGATATCTATAAAAATGATTTGATTAATATTTTCTACTAATATGAGATCTCAGTACAGCAGACAAATATGAAGGAAATTGTACTAATTCTCGACAGTATTTAAAACACATAGTTGGCATGGTCTCTCCTGTCGAAAACTATTAGTATAACGTCCAGTTTCTATAAATAAATCATGAGATGAAAATCGACACCGTGATAATGCAACTCGGAAATCTTTACTGTTATCATTGAGAGGTACCACTCTAGTTATAGTGAACTTTGGCCATTAAACAATATATCGCGTGAGTAACCAAGGATCCTGATATTACTCAGTTCCATCCCCCCGAGTACCCGAGTTATGCATCCCAACCCTTGTACAAGGTTTATGATCTGAGCGTGTTTGGATTATTTGCTTGGCATATTAAACATGGACAAGCATTACCGTCTAATATTACGTTAAGTTTCAGCTCACGGGTGTTTGACTTGGTGGCGCCATAGTAGGTGCAGCTATCATAGCCATCTCATGGTTACTGTGGACAGATGAAGAGAGGAAAGTCAGCTGAAACAGCAGCAATAGGCCATACAGGGTTTGACCACTACGTTTTGACCACTCGGCTCCTTCGACAAGTGTGTGAGCACGCGTGCGTTCGTGCGTGCGTGCGTGCGTGTGTGCCCCCCTCAACGGTTGCATACCATACTGCCACTAACTGGTCACAACCCAAGCTGTTGATGTGCAGTTCCAAACAAATACATATGGTGGTCTGGTTGACGGGACATCTGACTTCTGGTTGTAAACCGTTTAAAGTTTATGAAGTGTATTTTCTGACGATAAGAGAATGTCACGTGGTATCCAATACTACATTCAAGCCAACTGACACGGCACATTTAGGCGGAGTTTTCATCTGGTCACACAGGTCTGACAACTTCTATCTGAAGATACACTGACGAAGGTGTTCTCGGCATAGTTGGATGCCCTTTGTTAAAGGGCAAGGTATATAGTATTCTTTAATACGAACAGTCCTTTGTTAAAGGGCAAAGTATATAGCATTCTTTAATACGAACAGTCCTTTGTTAAAGGGCAAAGTATATAGGATTCTTTAATAAGAACAGTCCCTTGTTAAAGGGCAAAGTATATAGTATTCTTTAATACGAACAGTCCTTTGTTAAAGGGCAGAGTATATAGTATTCTTTAATACGAACAGTCCTTTGTTAAAGGGCAAGGTATATAGTATTCTTTAATACGAACAGTCCTTTGTTAAAGGGCAAAGTATATAGGATTCTTTAATACGAACAGTCCCTTGTTAAAGGACAAAGTATATAGTATTCTTTAATACGAACAGTCCTTTGTTAAAGGGCAGAGTATATAGTATTCTTTAATACGAACAGTCCTTTGTTAAAGGGCAAAATATATAGGATTCTTTAATACGAACAGTCCTTTGTTAAAGGGCAAAGTATATAGTATTCTCTAATACGAACAGTCCTTTGTTAAAGGGCAAAGTATATAGCATTCTTTAATACGAACAGTCCTTTGTTAAAGGGCAAAGTATATAGCATTCTTTAATACGAACAGTCCCTTGTTAAAGGGCAAAGTATATAGTATTCTTTAATACGAACAGTCCTTTGTTAAAGGGCAAAGTATATAGTATTCTTTAATACGAACAGTCCCTTGATAAAGGACAAAGTATATAGTATTCTTTAATACGAACAGTCCCTTGTTAAAAGGAAAAGTATATAGTATTCTTTAATACGAACAGTCCCTTGTTAAAGGACAAAGTATATAGTATTCTTTAATACGAACAGTCCCTTGTTAAAAGGAAAAGTATATAGTATTCTTTAATACGAACAGTCCCTTGTTAATGGACAAAGTATATAGTATTATGTAATACGAACAGTCCCTTGTTAAAGGGCTAAGTATATAGTATTATGTAATACGAACAGTCTTTTGTTAAAGGGCAAAGTATATAGTATTATGTAATACGAACAGTCCTTTGTTAAAGGGCTAAGTATATAGTATTATGTAATACGAACAGTCTTTTGTTAAAGGGCAAAGTATATAGTATTATGTAATACGAACAGTCCTTTGTTAAAGGGCTAAGTATATAGTATTATGTAATACGAACAGTCTTTTGTTAAAGGACAAAGTATATAGTATTATGTAATACGAACAGTCCCTTGTTAAAGGACAAAGTATATAGTATTCTTTAATACGAACAGTCCCTTGTTAAAAGGAAAAGTATATAGTATTCTTTAATACGAACAGTCCCTTGTTAATGGACAAAGTATATAGTATTATGTAATACGAACAGTCCCTTGTTAAAGGGCTAAGTATATAGTATTATGTAATACGAACAGTCTTTTGTTAAAGGGCAAAGTATATAGTATTATGTAATACGAACAGTCCTTTGTTAAAGGGCTAAGTATATAGTATTATGTAATACGAACAGTCTTTTGTTAAAGGGCAAAGTATATAGTATTATGTAATACGAACAGTCCTTTGTTAAAGGGCTAAGTATATAGTATTATGTAATACGAACAGTCTTTTGTTAAAGGGCTAAGTATATAGTATTCTTTAATACGAACAGTCCCTTGTTAAAGGGCAAAGAATATAGTATTCTTTAATACAACCAGTCCCTTGTTAAAGGGCAAATTATATAGTACGAACATTGCTACAAGAGTTACCGCCCATGATACTTGAGATTGTTGATGGTTTCTGTAAGGACTGGGACAATAGCAGGCCTACTTACATTCTAGCTTGCATACAGGAGTTAGTCTTGAATGAGTGAGTGAGTTTAGTTTTACGCCGCACTCAGCAATATTCCAGATATATGGCGGCGGTCTGTAAATATTCGAGTCTGGACCAGACAATCCAAGAATCAACAGCATGAGCACCAGTCTACCGAACTGGGATACGATGACCTGTCAACCAAGTCAGCGAGCCTGACCACCCGATCCCGTCAGCCGTCTCTTACGACAAGAATGGGTTACTGAAGATCAATTCTAACCCGGGTCTTCACGGGTCCGTATTTCTTTTAAGAAAAAAGGGAAAAAAGCCTCAACATAAAATGAAGGCAAAACGTCTTTTACTGCATAGAAGAGGAAATTACAATACAAAAATGTGCACGAATTATAGTGTCATGTGGTAAAACAGATATACAGGGTCAAGTTATTTTCACTCATTTTCTCAGAATTCAAAGCACTAACACAATCCAAAAAAACTAACTATGCCGGTATATAAAGCTTTCGCGCCACTGCTGTATACTGTTATATTCATTTAGAAACCAACATATATGCAGACCGAAATACAGTGGACAGAATATTGTGAGGGACCGAATCATATATACTATCTCCTTTTAATAGAAGATACGTGTTGCCTTACATATTTTCGATTTAAATTTCCCAACTGATAACGACGTTATAGCTATAAACTGTCCTCATACAGTTGCCATTAAATAGTGTTGAGGGTATCTTTTGTGTAATATAATTTTAAAGTCTCTTCTAAACATGAAACCATCCCTTGAGTAAAGGATTAATACCTCCACGTTTGGGAGATCAGTTAAAGGGGGGTAACTCCAATCAACTTGCAGTTAACCATCAAACATGGCATCGGTCTGTAAAGTTATCGCTCGGCAACTGTCCACCTCAGTGGGACGGCAGGGTCCTGTTAAATATTTGACTGTTATTGGCAGTGGTTTAATGGGCTCAGGAATTGCACAGGTACGTGTGTCAGAGAATAAATATCCGAGAGCACTTTGGAAACTTGCACACCGGCGTCAGCAAACTGCTATGGAACCAGACGTGGTGTACTTTGAACCCTGACGGGATAGCGGGTAACCCACTCAAGTAGCATCTACATTCACACTACAGTGATTTCTTTCCCATATCAACAAGTTGTTGAGAGTAAGAATTAAACAAGATTCACGATTTAGACCTTGCTTTTAAAATTAATAATATTTGTGACTTTCTTGCTTTCTGTTGACTGAATAAAGAGGTGATATGATCACTCATGATTTTATGATAAAGCGGACATTGACCTCTATTAATAGAGGCTCTATTCTTGAAACAGGTAAGGGCCTGGGAGTTTGTTTGGAGATTTTGTATTGTTTTCAGCTGCTGCTGTTTTAAAATGAATCTATGAGCCTGGTGAAAGTTTTAAAGAACAGCTTTTCGTAACAATGTTAGTTTTGTGGTCTATGAAACCAAGTGTGAATCATACCTGTAGCTAAAATGACCTTTTTCAAAATGTTCCAGGACAATTTCTAACTCACCCAACTCGCCCACTATTCTCTGAACCTCACCACCTAATCTGTTTGGTCCAGCATATTTCAAGAGTACTTCCAGCTTTTTATTGGGTAGATAGAGATGAGAGATGAATGGATGCTAAGTGTTTTAGTGTCATTTTCTGGTAAATATTGCTTGTGGACTTTTCAAGATAAAGATCACGGTAATGTCATGCCAGGGAAGCTCCTGGATTTCCATAGAATGAAAGTCTCCTCCGTCTGAAAGTGGAGTCTCAGTGGAAGGTTTGTGTGTTGTAGGTAGCAGCTGCAACCGGACACAATGTGACTCTGGTGGACCAGTCGGATGACATCCTCAACAAGTCCATGGGAAACATCAAGAAGAGTCTGGAGAGAGTTGCCAAGAAAAAGTATGCTGACAATCCCAAGGTACAGGCAACACACAGAAGAATATGGGACGATGCGGTAGCATAGTGGTTAAAGCGTTCCCTCGTCAGACTGAAGACCCGGGTTCGATTCCCCACATGGGTACAAATGTGTGAAGCCCATTTTTGGTATCCCCCGCCATGATATTGCTGGAATATTGTTAAAAGCAGTGTAAAACTAGACTCACTCACTCACATAGAAGAATGATGTGCTGACTTCATGGCATTACAATGTTGGATGTGACATCACTTGCGTGTCACGCCACAAATGACCCTGTTGGAACACTGAATGATGCATGGCACACTATCTTGCTACATGGCACACAAACATATTTTACTAGATAGAGGATATATTTGATTCATAAATAACTAGAAGGGTGCATGAGATTTTGCAAGCTGAGTGAGCTTGTACTCCTTAAGACTGATGGTTGAGGGGCATAAATGAAAAATCCCCCGATCCACCTTTGTATTAACACATGTATCAAATTTATAATGTTCATAGTGGTGGGACTGAAGGACTGAATTGTGAAGAAATCTCTGTGACTGCGAATACAACTGCCAGTGGTTTTGGTATTATCATTCAAAATGTGAACAGGGACAATGGTGATCGAACAACTATAGTACTGTCGGAAATGCTAGAAAAATGCTTTTTAGCCTTAATATCTTTATAAAGGTGATACATGTACTATGTTGTCAATATATCAACTCGTCTATTGTCTACCTAATTTTTATTTCAACCGATTTAACATTCCCATGCATTTAAAGGGCAGTTTACAGGAGAGAATTTGGTACCAAAACAGCAACTTAAGATTTTTTCAGAGTTCAACAACAGAAATCTGAAATAGTCTTTACATTTATGCTAATAATACAGGTGGTGTAAAAATATGAATTAACGTTTTTCCTAAACAAATAAATGTTGAATGTTTGTGTTACTTTACTTAATTATCGTTTCTTTATTGAAGAAATATTAGTATAAATGTTAAGTCTTGATAAATAAGTTTTCTGTCATGCATGCACATCTTTATCACAGCGTCCACTGTGGCCAACTATTTGCAGTCTATTGTTGCAAAGGTTTATAGGTTTTTTCTGCTTAAAAAAGACAGAGGTAAACCTTTCATTAGTTTAGAAAGGGTTTATTACAGAACTTGTAGAGCTGTTGGCATGTCTTACCAACAAGTTTACAATATTGTAAACAAATCAGACAAGAGAGGGACCATCTCAAATGCAAAACCGGGACGTAAAACCATCCTTGACAACTTTGACAAGGGAGTGCTTAGACGGGCGGTCTACAAACTTTATGAGAAGAAAAATATATATATTCTAAAGAAGCTACACCAGTGACTTCGTTAAATCTTTGGCCAATGTTCACAGCTAGATTAAACTGACCATATTACATCCATATTTTTGCAATGAAATATACTGTTGACATGCAAAACATTTATTAAAACTTTGCACATTTCTACAATCAATCGATAAGATAACACAAGTGATAGGATTCTTTCCAATGTACAGTAATTAGTGTATGTTTAATTCAAAACAAATACACATACACAAATGATCCCTTACATAACCGATAATGTATACTACACGCATTACACATATTCAACATTTTGCAGAAAAAAAAAACATCTATTGAGATGACCCTCACCGAAGCGTGTGCTCAGGTGTCAATTTCACCTGTCGATACCGTGCATGCTGATGACGTAACACAGGCAGTTAATGTTTGTATCAAATAACGTCCCACTACCCCTTATTTTTCTAAGTTTTTGGTATTTTCATCAGTAAAATCACATTTTAGAGCATGTCTCAAAATTTATTCCCTCGGTCTACATTAGGTAGATGTTTCTTGAAGTGATATTTGTTATTTAAGTAACTGTAATACCTATGAATTTTAAATAAATGTCAAAAAGCATTTTTCTAGCATTTCCGACAGTACTATAGTTGATGTTATATAAAAGACTTTGACATGAAGGTTTTTTTCAAGGCAGCAACTGATTATCACCAGGGTCCTGTTCCACAAAGGGATCACAAAGCTAAGATGATCGTAACTCCCATACTTTAACATAGACTTACGACAGTCGTAGCGCTAAGATGATAGTAACTCCCATACTTTAACATAGACTTACGACAGTCGTAGCACTACGATCACTTTGTGGAATGGAGCTCTGGACTAGTGATGTATTTTCAATTACATAGCTATTTGCCAGGTAGTATGGGATGGTAGTTGGTACTGCCCATTTGCAAGGCAAATGGTCGTGTAATAAATATTTTACCCTTTAGATGGTGACAAGTTCTTTTTTCTTGAACAGTTTTTCTATTTCTATGATTGTTGTTGCAGACAAACTTCGTTGATAGATATTTGAAGGGACATATCTCTTGTTTTAAGGAACTTGTTATTTCAAATATTAGAGGGTTCGAATCCTGGATGGGAGTCACCTTGAAAAAAAGAGAACTAATCTGTACTTAACCGAGGGTGTGTAATCCTACATAAGATATATTTATCCCATACACCCTGCTTCTGACAAATGTAACTCATAACTCTTGTTTGTATAGGATGGTGAAGAATTCATCTCCGGTGTTCTAGGCCGTATCTCCACAAGCACTGACTCCTCAAGTGCTGTGGAGAAGACTGACCTGGTCATTGAGGCTATTGTAGAGAACCTTGGGGTCAAGAAACAGCTGTTCTCAGCTCTGGACAAAGTTGCACCACAGTAAGGCTACTGGAGGATTACACTCTTTTGTAACTGAGCTTGATAGTTTTCTGAGCAGTTTTACAGAACTGTAATTGTAAGACTCATATAAGCAACTTTGCAGTGTTATGCACATTTGACACCTTCAGCATTTGTTCAGTGGAGGAACAAAGAGAAAAAGTAATCCATCAGACTTTACATCATTTGTATACCAGTATGTCCACATAATATATAAACAGATTCTTTTCTTCAATAGTTAAGTAGATAGAGCATCGGCCCTGAGACGCGTCTTGATCCACCAAACAAATTAGAAAGATGGTACTCTCTGTTACCTGGATTTACGGTTTTCTCTGAAAATGAGTAATTTGGATAGAAATAAACAACGACAATTTAAGTGATAAAGGAGCTGCATTGAGATGACACTTTAATCTGTCAAGAGTCTAGACTAACTTCCAGTGGGAATATGATCATGATAATATGGTTCAGGGACTGTGAGGCAGACTGCCTGTTGCTCAGCCCAGTGCTTGGCATGCAGTCAATGGAACAAGGATTGACCAGGCATGGTGTCTCAATGGGCTAGAAGTATACAACCGACTGTAATTAACTGCTTATATGGCGCTCATATCCAGGCACATTGCCTGCTCACTGCGCTACTACGTACATTACTATCCCCGGTCATAGGACATTATCGCACTTTGCGATACTTTTTCAACTCCCTTTTTTAACTCCCTGGGGATCATACAGTACAGTCCAGCTTAGCCGAAGCAGCCACACAAACACAATGTGTGGCAATATGGATGAACAACAAACACATCCATGCATGTGAAAATATGAATGAACATGATGTTAACCCCCATTTCAACCCACATCTTTCAGACACACCATCTTCAGCAGCAACACCTCCTCAATTCCCATCACTGATATTGCTGCATCAACACAGAGAAAGGACCGGTTCGGGGGACTGCACTACTTCAACCCTGTACCCATGATGAAGCTCCTGGAAGTAGGATGTGCTTATCTTCCTCCAGGAACTGCTTATATTAGTGCTTATTATTTCTCAAATTTTGAAAGCCATTGCAGATAATTTTTGCATTTCATGACTGTCTTCTTGAGCTATGTATTGATATGAATTAAAATGGACAGAATATGAACTTTTGAAATAACAATACTGTGTCAGTATACGAATAGTATAGCGCTATATTTTTTATGTATGTATCCTTGTGGCCTTATCGTATTGTTACACCTCTAAACATTACTGAGCGTAACCTCTGAAAGTGGAATTTGGAAAAACTGTTTCAGTGTAACCACGGTAACTGTTTGTAGCTTACTGCTCATATATATGTGACTGATGTTAGGTATGCCCTGATTGGTTGATATAGCCTCATGGTTTGAGTGTGAGAAAAAGTGATTTGTACTGTGCGTGTTTGAATTGTAAAATAAGGTCTGGGTGTGGCTTTTTAATTTGTTTTGGCTTTAATTGGCATTAAGCAGGGATATTTATTTTTGGGGATTGAATTGGGGTCATCTTACTGTGATTATGCTGTGTAGAGTTGTGTACCCTTAGTTGTGTAAGAAGCCAATGATTTGAGGTCTGAATCTTGGACCTGCTTGTGATTCTCAGTTTGTCAGCACTACACCCCTACTCATGGGGTTCAACAAAGTGGTAAATGTCTGAAACTTGTTTCACTTCAGGCTTTTCTCATACGTCAATCTGATACATAATACCTAAAATAACGTTCAGATTGCATCAAATGAAATGACTCATTGATTCTACAACACCTACGTCACTTGTAACTGGTAACTGACTTGGGGCATATCTATTTTTGTTTGCAGGTTGTCAGGACATCAGAGACAAGTGATGAGACATTCAACACCCTGGTGGAGTTTGGCAAGGCCATGGGCAAGGTCACTGTCAATTGCAAGGTAGGGTGCTCGGTTGGACGTTTAATAGTGAACATGGCGTTCATTGTAAAGAAAATAATGTGTGTGCTCAGCTTATTGAAGACACACTGGCTTTTGTGCTTGGACTTCTTAAAGATAGGATGCCATGTAGGAGCCCCATTGTAGCCCTTTGTCACACTGCATATGTGTCTATTCCTCATCCTCATTTAGTGGAAGGGTGATTAAGCCTTATTTGGGTGAATCAGTGCAGTTGCTCAGAACTGTTAGGTGGAGGCACCTTCATTATATATGAGATTTGAGTAGCAGCTATCTCCAGAAGACGAAAGTAATCATGTGGAGTTGTGTCATGATATTCTGGTGCCCTTGAGAAATGGTTGTGAGGGGCAGCTTCTGCACTTGCAAACACTTTTCTAGTTAGTGATCGACTTTTTGCCTTTTCAAAGCTGAATTATCAAAATGCTGAAATTCTGGAGAGTGGTTTCAAGAAATGTTCTGATGTCCCCATCACTGTACATGACAGGAAGTTAGACCAAAAGAAATTAACCACTGACAAATGGTATTTGTTATAAGAAAAAACAGAAAATATCAGTAGGCATAGTTTTTACATTCAGCTGTACTGTAAATGAGTGAGTTTAGTTTTATTCCGCACTGAGCAATATTCCAGCCATATGGCAGCGGTCTGTAAATAATCGAGTCTGGACCAGACAATCCAGTGATCAACAGCATGAGCATCGATCTGCGCAATTGGGAACCTATGACATGTGTCAACCAAGCCAGTGAGCCTGACCACCCGATCCTGCTAGTCGCCTCTTACGACAAGCATGGGTTGCTGAAGGTACATTCTAACCTGGACCTTCACGGGTCTGTACTGTAAATTGAGGACATAGTTAATTTGTGTAAGAACTGGACACAATAATATTTTATCCAGCAAAAGCATGCGCCCTTTTTAAAAGCTCTGCACCATTTTTCAGGACACAGCTGGATTCATTGTGAACCGACTCCTGGTACCCTATATGTTGGAGGCAGTTCGTCTCGTGGAGAGAGGTAATTCACAGATATAAAACTGGGATTCCATCACTCATATCATAAAAAGACCACATTATCAAATTCAGCTTGTCTTAAAAACTTACAAAATCAAAGTTTTGTGACTAAGCAAAGTGTTGAGTGTAGTTGTCACATTGATTCACCCATGTACAATCAACAACTGATTTGTCTGGTCCAATTTGGTTTGTATTTCCACTCCTATCACAGTGTTGCGATAATACAATCTGTGGCTTCAAAAACATTCAAACACAGAAGTAGCTGTTTGCGTTACGGAAAACTACCATCTGGAGAATGTATCTAACTTCTGAATGTCTTTACGCATTCTTATATAAATTGCTGTCATGTACCTGTTCATCAAGTTTCCATATCTCACCTTGGTACAGTGACTTGTTATTGTTTATACATATTGGAGTTACTATTGTCATGTCACGTAGAAACATTGACATATATAACAAAGCTCACAAGATATACTCCAGTTGAGCCTCCGATTTAGTTGGTGTATCTTACCAAGTTTTGCACTAAGTGTGGTCAGTTTGATCAAGTGTTTGAGGCCGTCACTAACTGTTTGTGATGGCATCTTTGTACTCGGTAACCATGTCAGTTAATCTTACAATTACAAGCAAAAGACTGCGTATTAACGTTCAGTGTAACAACACTGTTCAATACTGCATGCAGACCTAACCTTATTGATTTCCCTGCATTTCGCATTCTTATATAAATTGCTGTCATGTACCTGTTCATCAAGTTTCCATATCTCACCTTGGTACAGTGACTTGTTATTGTTTATACATATTGGAGTGACTATTGTCATGTCACGTAGAAACATTGACATATATAACAAAGCTCACAAGATATACTCCAGTTAAGCCTCCGATTTAGTTGGTGTATCTTACCAAGTTTTGCACTAAGTGTGGTCAGTTTGATCAAGTGTTTGAGGCCGTCACTAACTGTTTGTGATGGCATCTTTGTACTCGGTAACCATGTCAGTTAATCTTACAATTACAAGCAAAAGACTGCGTATTAACATTCAGTGTAACAACACTGTTCAATACTGCTTGCAGACCTAGCCTTATTGATTTCCCTGCATTTAATTTCACGGGGATATTTTTGAGTTAAGCCCATAGACTATACATTTGTTTAAATTTTTTTATAGGGGCTGCATGCATCGATTCACAATGCATTAAGGCCAGGTGTTGAAATTGGCATTAACTTGGTGTGATTTTAGGTACCAGATGTGGTAAAGCAGCCTATGTTTGAATATATTTCTCCCAGTGGGTATTGATACAAGCCAAGTATGGCGGTGGTGGCGTAGCTTAATGGTTAAAACGTCTGCTCGTCATGCTGAAGACCCGGGTTCTATTCCACACGTGGGTACAATGTGTGAAGGCCATTTCCAATGTTCCCGCCGTGATATTGCTGGAATATTGCTAAAAGCAGTGTAAAACCATACTCACTCACAAACCGAACCTCGCTTCCTCACTCACTCATTCACTCGAGATCACCACTCACTCACGTCCCCAGGTGATGCTTCCCCGAGGGACATAGATGTAGCAATGAAGCTGGGAGCTGGCTATCCCATGGGACCTTTTGAGTTGAGCGACTATGTTGGACTGGACACCATGAAGTTTATTCTAGATGGTCAGTATCGGTCAATTTACTGACATTTATCTGCCGTGTCTCAATTGTCTCAATTTACTGACTTCAAGGGAAGTACCTGCATCTGGAAATATTTCCAAGTTTGACTATCCAGAATCCATGTAGTGTTTTATTGTTACCATCCGTGGTTAATAGACAATTTCAAATAGTGATACAAGCTGATGTGAGTTACAAATAGTGACATTGCAGTATATAGAAGATTCAAAGTACCAAGTATACATGATACATTAAGAATGCTTTACAGTGCTTTGGGACTCACTAGAGCTTTATGTATTGTGAAGCCTCATGCTTCAGGTTCCAGCATCAATTTAACAAGGTCAAATCTGTAGCAAACATAACTGTATCTTGATCTCAATTTCACCTTGTTAAGATTAAATTAGGGTTTATCAAACATAACAAGTGAGTAGCAATGGTTGAATGTAGGTATGTCATGAATATGGTGATATGATTATGAGTCTGTATGTGAATATATGAATGCCACTGAAAGTGTGAAGCACTTTCTTCATAAACGTAAGACTTGCATAAAAAAAATTCAAAATTGTAGGCAAGTATTTTGTAGTCCAATTGTGACTCAGCAGATACAAAGATGTCACAATTAGAAGTGGAGAAGTGTCTTAATTTTTAGTTGTTTGTAAAATTTGAAGTACAGTAACTTTGTCAGTTGCAATGCTTATTATGAATATTGTGAAGATGGCAGATCTAATGTTGTTTAAGACAACACTCAGCAATCTTGCTCCCCCACCCAATTATTAAAGGGCTCGTCCCAGAAGTTTTGGCAGCCCAGTTGCAAAATAAGTTTATTGTAATGAATTTCAATTAAATTGTGTGTGGATGTGTTAATGTAATGCTTTATCACTGTCCACAGGTTGGCATGAGAGGGACCCTAACCATCCTCTGTTCAAACCTAGCCCCCTGTTGGACAAGCTGGTGGGCGAGGGCAAACTAGGTATGAAGACTGGGGAAGGTTTCTATAAACATAAGAAGTAGACTGACCATTGCCGTCTTGAAGATGTTGGAAACTGTACACAATCACCTTCAAAAGTATACACTGTTGGAATATTGCATGTTGTTTACATGGAAAGGTTGTGTGAATGATTTGTCAAAAGTGGTTGTTTGTCATGTAAATGAGTTGCTCTAATTATGTAACAATTTAGATTTGATATGAAATCTGAATATACATCACAGTGTACTTTTTATGCTTTGATTGTGTCTGTTGGGCAGGCCAGAATCATGATTGTGGGTTCGAATCTTGCTGGGCCCTGATCATGTTTCTTGATTTATGTCAGTTGTGTCAGCAAAGTGGTAAACCTAACCCTGCAAGATTTCAGGCTTTTCTCCCACATTCAGCCGACCAATGAGATAATACTGGAATACTGTTGAAAGGGGCATCGAACCTAACTCAATAAATCCACATAATTGGGATATGATGACATGTCAACCAAGTAAACATATCTGACCACCCTACATCTAATCGCCTCTTACGGCAAGCATGAGTTGCTGAGTATCAATCCCGCCATATAGCTGAAGTGCGTAGTAAAACAACATACCAAACCAAACCTGAAGATCATTGCTCGCCTGGATCTTCCAGTGTCTGAGAAAGATTAACATGTCTGGGATGAATAATATGAGAGAAATGACACTGTAACAAGATGATGGCAAGAGAACAGTGGTGAAGAAGTCAGAACAACTTGTGAAACATCAGCTACATCACCTTTAGGAAGGCATTTCACCTATGTCTTCTTCATCCTATCATAATGATAACAGTCCATTTGTATGGCGTTTTCCCAAGAAGAATATCACGTTCAAAGCTGATATAAACTGTCTTTGAGGTGCTGGATGGTTAAGTGATATTACCATTTAATTCTGCCTGGTATCCATGCACTGCTGGCTGAACAGAGGCAGATGTGGGACAAATTTATCAGCGTGGGACAGGACTATGCCAAGAAACTCTGTCAGGAGCCAAACTGTCGAACATAGTGACCCATTCGAGGACATCACCTGATGTTTCTGCCGATGTGGCCTGAATTTTAACAATATTTCAGTTTTTTCACAACCTGTGAGCTTGATATAAGTGAAAGGTCCAAAGTGAGTGAGTGAGTTTAGTTTTACGCTGCACTCAGCAATATTCCAGCTATATGGCGGCGGTGTGTAAATAATCGAGTCTGGACCAGACAATACAGTGATCAACAGCATGAGCATCGATCTGCACAATTGGTTAGTGATGACATGTGTCAACCAAGTCAGCGAGCCTGACCCTCCGATTCCGTTAGTTGCCTCTTACCACAAGCATGGGTTACTGAAGGCACATCCTAACCCGGACCTTCACAGGTTCCAATCTGATGAATGTGTACGGTGCTGTGATTCGAACCTATGATCATAGTATTTTGGTGTGAGTAAGAGACACAACTCTGCACAGCAAATTGTCCCGCCTTGAATGACAGGGCCACCGTGTGCCGTCATTACAATAAATAGTAGCGCTAATAATTTGTGTTGCTGCTAAAACACACTTGATTGGCTAAATACATTTACAATATATAAACTAATTTTCAAAGCAACAATGAAAGATTTCCATTAAGTTCAAGAAAAGCAGCCCCCATTACCATTACGAGTACTACTTCTTTGGAGATAACAAAAGACCACTGAAGTGCGAAATATAAAGTATACCTTTACCTGCGCATGCGTAGTGTAATTGACTTTCTACGCATGCGCACCGGTATTCGAAAGGGTGATGTCGACGTGTCGCGGTTTAGTCAATTTTAGGCTTTTTTTTACACATCTTAGACAGGGCGACAACGCGACATATTTTGACCTTGAAAATTGTCGCGTGTCGCCCTTTGGAGGAATATTTTTATTCAAAACGCGACAGTGCGACAAATGGCCGAAATGTCGCGTGTCGCGTTTTGGTTTATTTTGCCTCATTTTACTTGTTTTTGAGAGGGCGACAATGTCCCTTCTCGGATTCCGTACAAATCGGACATCTTTAAAGTATTTCAAGTTACGTAGTGATGATATGTTGGCTCTACGATCATCTGAAAAAAGGAAAAGAGTAGGACAGAGGCGATGTAGCAGCGATGTACGAGGCATTAACTTTGCATTTCTTTTTTCCTTTCACTTTGTACGGATTATTTGGTAAAAATATGTTTGTAATTCGTCTTTAAATATTATGAAATGTTATTCTCTAAGGATTACATCCACGTTTGATGTACTCTTCATGGGACCCCCCAGTTTCTGAAAGCTGAAACGCTGCCATGAACTCGAGATATTTGAAGTGAGTGAGTGAGTGACCATAGTTTTGTGTCAGATTTGTGTTATGTCTCTCCCTATCGGGAACAGCAGATGGTTGTCTACGGATCCTGGAGCCCACTTTTGTATCACCATAAGGGACCCACCATTTGAAATTCGGGTGGAGACAGGGTGCTTCAGATATACATAAACCATCCTTTGCACAGTGGTGGGTGTTAAACATAATGAGTCGTGCTTCCATGAAACTGTTTGGCTGCCCTATTTAGTATATAGTTTGTCATTAAGCCAAGGGCGGATCCGGAGGGAGTGCGCGCCTGAAAGCCCCGACTGAAAACAATATTCCATGCATGATCACCCCACTCTGGAAACATTCAGCATACACGATGTTAAAAAACAGGACTGAATGAAAAACTACTGTCTGCTTATAATCACTACGTGGATGTACACACTACCATCCAATTACCCCCGACATGTTCCTCATTGCACAGTCTGGCTACGAAAGCAGTTGACCGAACCACTGATTCTGCTTTGGTGGTGTTGGATCCTAGATGCATTCCCAAGAGTACAAGCTATACAAGCTGTGAACACTGACTCCTTCCTGAAATGTTTGCGGTGCTTCTTTCATTACTGATATGGCAGAGGCGACTCTTGTATGAGGGAGAAGCTATAGTCAGCTTGGCATACCTTAACAAAGATACATGACTTTTTAGCTAACTGTTTGCTTGTTGGTGGCAATTGAGAGAGCGGTTGTTTCGATGAGTAGTGGAAATGACTAATCATCAGGCTACACTAAGCTTGTATCGTGAGTGTAGTTTTACGCCGCACGCAGCAATGTTATTTCTATATGGCGGCGGTCTGAACATAATCGAGTCTGGACGAGACAACCCAGTGATCAACAGCATGAGCATCAATCTACGCAACTGGGATACGATGACATGTGTCAAACACGTCAGCGAGCCTGACCACCCGATCCTGTTAGGCACTAGAATCCAGAAGAACTACATCTCATCAGATTCCGCCATCTTCCCTCTACACAATGTTTGGTGTCTTTAAGTGCCTTTAAATATTGCTATAGTGAATGAACTGGGGCTACAAGTTGGCTGCGAATGAGAAAAGAATCTTCGTACCTGTAATATTTCTCCTGGATACACGTCGCCCCCGTCGGTAATTCTTTTGTCAAGTATGGTGGGTGCAGATGACTGACGTTATATTGTACCTGATACCATAGCAATGGTTGTACCTGGCACAGCGTCTCTTAGAGCTCTATTCCAAAACGCTTCAGTGCCATTGGTTTGACTCCAGTACATACGTACACAACTAACAACAATACTACTTCCGCCATGATGGTTTTCATGCTGTAGACTTTTGGAATGAGCCAACATAAAGACGAAACCTGCAATCATTCACACAGCTCCTGACTATCCGTAAAAAGCTAAGGCATGATCATTAAGCAGTTATGTAGGGTAATTCTCTTGGTGCTCTTTGTCTCACTGCCTTCTCCTTCATGCAACTTGATTTGTTAGCATTCAGGTTCCTAGCAAAATGGTCGTCATTATTTTTGTCTGATTGTACTTTTGTTGCTAAAAGTTCAACCATTAAGCTGAGGTGCATACTGGATGATATTCCCCGCTGAGAAATTACTGGGTACATATTATATCATCCGCTAACCCTTATCAATTAATAGGGTGGTTAGAGAGCCAGGCAGTTATGGCATGAGCTCTTCATGCTGAAGACCAAAGTCTAATTCCTAAATGTTCGAAGATAATTTCATGTTTTCGCCCACAAAGCTATGTCTCGAATACCGATATAAATGGCAGAAATCTCTGAACACTAACGGAGCCGTTCCTGACCAGCCTCATCGGGTTTCATTCTTTTTCTCCACATGTATTTTGATTGGCTGATAAAGTGTTGCTGGAAATACACATTTAATGAGTGAGTGAGTGAGTTTGGTTTTACGCAACACTCAGCAATATTCCAGCTACAAGGTGGCGGTCTGTAAATAATCGAGTCTGGAACAGACAATCCAGTGATCATTGTCGTAAGAGGCGACTTACGGGATCGGGTGGTCAGGCTCGCTGACTGGGTTGACACATGTCATCGTATCCCAGTTGCGTAGATCGATGATCATGATGTTGATCCCTGGATTGTCTGGTCAAGACTCGATTATTTACAGACCGGCGCCATATAGCTGAAATATTGCTGAGTGTTGCGTAGAGCTAAACTCACTCACTCACTCTAGCTTGTTTGGCAATTTTAACCATGGTGACTAATTTCCTTACACAAAACTTGACCAATGTTTATTCAGTGTCATGTCTAAGTTAGAATACCTAGTCATGTGATAACATGTACGCAGTTTGATTGCTTATTTCACAAGTAATGACCTGACTATGGTTGCTTAAGATCATGTATACTCTAAAAAGTAAAGTGACCAAAATAGGATATTAAAAACATCGTGCTTTGAACAAGACTTACTTCATTGTAAAAGACTAGTCTAACAAACATATTCTGAAAATTAGAACACAAACTGTGCAATGTTTTTAAGAGGTTTATTATGATTTGGGGTTTAATATTGTTTTACTAAAAAAACTGACTTGCATGTGTACGTGTGTCCGTGCATGTGTGCTTGTGTGCATGTGTTCTAGCTATAGACAGGATAACAACAAGTACTATCTCTCCAAGTCTTTGGGAATATATCATAATCAGGTGTGAGGAAAGCCTGAAGCGACACTTTGTAAATAATTATTGCTCAATACTAAATAACATAAAGGATAACACATTCTTTATCGTTTATTTTTTTAGATTTTGACAAGATTACATGTTGAATTATGTACATATGAGCTCTTTCGAATTTTTATTTTGTCAGTTTTACATACATTCATGATGTTAATGTACAAAAAGTCTCCAAATATTTTTTAAACCTGGAGTGAGTTTCAAGCCACTTTGAACAGTATTCCAGTTACATCATGGAATGACAGTTGATGTGGGTGGACTCCTCAAGTTGATGCAGGTCCTACATGTTTACCACTTGTTAGCCATGTGCATGGGCATGGCAGTGCTTCAGCCAGGATTATTTTTAGTCTTGCCAATTGGCACCTTTACTACTAAAATGTGTGCAAATGCAGTTGAGACTTTTGCCATTCATGGTAACCATGGTATAGAAGACCTGTGGATTATATTAAATGCTGTGCCAATGGGTACGCTCTAGAATTGAAAAAAGTGCCACTGCATATTTTTTAGTGTCAATGGCGCAATGGCGCTTGCCTGGCTGAAGCACTGGCATGGTGCTCACAAAGCTAGAAACATAATTAGGGCAAATCAGGATTTGATCCACAATCCAATTTTGGGTGTACCAAAGGGACGTAACTCTGATCAGCGAATTGTGGCTCTTAGATAGCTGGGCAACCGGACACCAGATGGCAATGTCATTAAGTGCTTGCTTGCATCTTTCAAGGACTCTGACATTATTTCAGCAGCAGAAGGAACTCAACTAACTGACATATCCATCATAGATCATTCAAACCTGCATATAACAAACAGTTTCATAGTTGTAACTGCATGGAAAACCATTCCAAGATGACACAGCATAGCTAAATTCAAATTCTTGTCAATTTCCTTCACATCACTATTCACTGTTTTAAATGCATCAGCTAGTACAATACCTTCACAAACTACATCCATGTGCTGTGGACTCTGCCGAGACAACAAGCCTGTCTCAATGTCTGTTATGGGCCCTAGCCTGTTATTGCTGCCTGCCCTTCAGTGGTTATGGACCCTGCCACTGCCGTATAGTTCCCTGGCTGTCTATCTAGGTATGTCTAACCATGCATTTTTGTTGCTTAATATAGCAATGTTCCAGCTATATTGATGAGAGCCTGTAAAGACCAGATATTCAGTGATTGATAATGTGAGCAATGATATACAATCACACACAAATCAACTAAGTCCGACATCTGGGTCCATTTCCTCTTACAACCAGAGCAGGTTGATCTGGGGCCTGTTCTATCCTGGAAACACCCATACTTCCTGCTGTGATACTGCAGTGAACAGATATCCCACAAGTGAGTGAGTGAGTGAGTTGGGTTTGATGCCGCTATTAGCAATATTCCAGCAATATCACAGCGGGGGACACCAGAAATGGGCTTCACACAATGTACCCATGTGTGGAATCAAACCCGGGCCTTCAGTGTGACAAGCGAACATTTAACCACTGGGCTACCCAATCGCCCCTATCCCACAAGTAGTGGACGTTATTGCCCAGCTTTTTTCTGCTTCTTCTTGCCATCCATCCTCCCTAGGATTCTGTAAATGTCCTTTTTCACCTGACGGTGTTTCTGATCCTTCAGGGCATCAATCTTAGCTTGGTTCTGCTGGTGTTTCTCTGCACGCCGCCTCATCTGTACATGTGCTGAGCGGCGCTTGTGTTCATACAGCGTCTTCATCATCTTCATCACCTTGGCAACCTGGGGACAGCAGCAACACAGTTTAACAACCATTGTCTACTGGTTGAGAAGTATGTTCAGACGTACAACATCACAGTTTAACAACCATTGTCTACTGGTTGAGAAGTATGTTCAGACGTACAACATCACAGTTTAACAACAATTGTCTACTGGTTGAGAAGTATGTTCAGACGTACAACATCACAGTTTAACAACCATTGTCTACTGGTTAAGAAGTATGTTCAGACGTACAACATGACAGTTTAACAACCATTGTCTACTGGTTAAGAAGTATGTTCAGACGTACAACATCACAGTTTAACAACCATTGTCTACTGGTTAAGAAGTATGTTCAGACGTACAACATCACAGTTTAACAACCATTGTCTACTGGTTGAGAAGTATGTTCAGACGTACAACATCACAGTGGTTAGAAACATTAAAACAAGATATTCAGACTTGAATTATATAAAACCTAAACTATATTCAGTAATAATACAACTGGTTTGTCATTGATTAAGGTTGCAAATGACTTCATCAACACACTGGGTTACATACATTTCCTCAGTATTATCAATGCAATGATGACAACAAAGATATATATCAACTCAAATGCTGGAAAAAAGAGAAACATTTTTAGTAGTTACTTTCACCTTCCACTTTCTGTCAGTATCTTCCCTGTGTATTTATGAATACAAACCTCCAGGACACAAAGTCCGATATCAAGCAAATACTTTTGTTACTTCTGAGAGTCTACCCTGACATTGACCATCAGGAATTCTGACAGTCCAAGGCTGATGTAAACATGTTATGTATTAGCACTCTTCAAGGAGGGTGTTTGCTGTACAAGCTGTCGGATTCAGGTGTGCTCAGTCCACTAAATAGTAACCATTTACTCTTTTATTATCCTACCTTGACTTCTTTAGGCTCCCTGATGATGGACACCCGCTTGACAGGCTCTGGCAGACTCAGCAACTCTTTCGGTGTGTCCTTGAACGGCAGACGCTGCTGTAGCTCTCGGGGGATGATCAGAGGCTTCAGTCTCTTTGGCATTCGCTCTACAGCCTGGGAAAACATTAACACTTGGATCATGTCTCTAGTGCGATCAGAAAGCAAGACTTCATTAGAGTTGAACTTATGTAACACAAATTAGTAGTCACGGACAAGCAGAATAATGTGAATTTGGAAGGCTGCATGTAATAATTAACATTAGCGTGACTAACCGAGTGTGGATGTTTGGTTTGATGAAACGTAAAACGATATTCCAAAACTATCACTAAGGAGGCTGCCCACTTGGTGAACTAAACCCAGTTCTTGATGTGATGAACATATCCCTAAATCTTGTATAGTACATACAAAATTGGGTGTTTTGCCCTGAATCCAAATATGGACTATTAACATCTGAATTATCATGTCCCCAATGCTCATAATTTCACTGCATACCTTGTACCGAGAGTCCCCTTTCTGTGGCACCGCAACTCCCTGCTCATAGCGAAGCTGTCCGACTGTCTTCATGCCCACCCACTGGCTCTTTTCAGACTTAGGAAGGAGGAGAGTGGTCACAGGGTTGAAGAACTTGGGTACCTCTACCTGGAACCATGTCCGCACGAACACGATGTCTGGAAAATGGGGGAGATGTGAAACAGTCAGGGGAAAGCTGAACTTCACACAGCTGTTCTAATTGGCATACAAAAGAGTGAGTGAGTGATGACTGAGTGAGTGAGTGAGTAGATCTACACCGCATTCAGCAATATTCCAGCTATATGGTGGCGGTCTGTAAATAATCAAGTCTGGACCAGACAATCCAGTGAATAACAGCATGAGCGATTGGATACGATGACATGTGTCATGGAAAGTACCTTTCAAACTAGTTTAAACCCAATTTTATAAAAACAGTGTCACTGTAAAATAGGAAACCAGTCCCAAGGAGCAAGAAGACATTTCTCTTCAATCCCCACTGACTTGGGTACAACAGTGTTTGTATTTACGCCCCACTCAAAGTATTCCAGATATGAGTGAGTGAGTGAGATTTGGTTTTACACCGCTTTTAGCAATATTCCAGCAATATCATGGCAGGAGACACCAGAGATGGGTTTCACACACTATCCATGTGGGGAATCGAACCTGGGTCTTCGGCGTGATGAGTGAACGCTTTAACCACTAGACTACCCCACCACCCCGATTCCAAATATGAACCTGGACTTGGACATATCCACTGAGGACACATGGAATCCTCCTTTCAGTCATAGAAAATATATTGAGTAATCTGTACATGTGACTTGATCTTACCACTCATCAAGATCTTGTCCTCGAAGGTCGCCCTAAAAGCCCCCTCAGGCGTCTTGAGAGCTTTCTTGATCTGACCTCTGATGCCACTGACAGACCGAATACTGGCACCCTCAAACTTGGCCACCTCTAGCCCCGAGTTGAACATGCCCTGTAAATACATGCACCAGTTGGTTACCAATGATGCTCCAGAACATAGGCAGACCAAGAACATGTAATTTAAGTTATCTAAGACCCACTATGACGCTTCACATATGCATAACAATCTAATGAAATGATTAAATTCTGTACTTCTGTTGACTTGGTATTTCTGATGTTACCTGCTCACTGGAATGTTTGGGCTTTTGGAAAAATGATTAAAAACACATTTGTTGCTTGTTGTATGCACACTTGTCTCCACATTATATGTTTCTTAACAAACTGCACACTATAATTATGAAACTATGCTAACATTTAATGGTTTCCATTGTCATACACATATAAAGTCTTAACTACACACCAGTCATTTACACCACCATCTAGACCAAGATCTATGGCACTAGATCATGGTGCATGGCTCTGAGCTCTATTGAATCTGATATAGGAAGTCCTGTTACTGCAGTAGTATAAGCAGTTAGATTCATAACAGCTGAGAGTGAACAGTACAATGCTGGTAAATTTACACACAATCAGTCTTCAATAATATTCCACCAACCTCAATAAATGCTGTTTTCTTGAAGATCTTATTAGGGGTGCCAGTCAGCTTCAGTTTCTTCACAATCTGCATCGACTTGTCAAGTTCCAGAATCACCCCGGTAGCAGCAATTCGGAACTTGGCCTGTAAATACAATACACCTAAATCTGTGTGTCAAGTATCACCTGTAACAAAAGGGATTGGTGGCAGAACACACACCAAGATGAGCCTATCTACATGAGTATGATTATTAAGTGTGATCATATTTTGATATCATATACCTCCCCTGATATGACTGGGATGACTGTACATCCTTATATTTGTAAACAGTGTTAATATTCAAGTTTACTATTTCATGAACTGCATCAAACATATTCCCATAATTCTATGTATCTCAAAACACTGGCATTGTTTTCAGTTCTTAAAACTTTAAGGAAATGAAGCAGGGGTAAAGGTATAAGTGTGATAATACCTGCACAAAAGTTGACATTCTCTACAATATCTTCAGTAATAAGAATATGACACACTCATGATATAAACACCCTGTACAAACATATATCAGATATATTTTCAACACTGAAATTACTCACAGTAACATCAGAGATACTCTCCACAGCCAAGAGACCCGACCCCTGAGGTGTTATAGGCCCTGAAATATACACAGCATTACTTAAAACCTGTGATTATCATTCTCAGAACCAAGTAAAATATACCACCCGAAAGAAAACAGCTGATCTTGTAATATTGTGGTATGACAGAATTACTATAGCAACATGAAAGGATCAGATGTTCTTAAACTTCTTTTGAATTGAGTCTTTTTGGAAAAGCAAAATTCAACATTTTTCTCACAACATATTTTGTCTTCCTCGTGAAGGAACTTACCCCAGAAAGATGCGTGACAGTGAAGATGTTCTGGCGTATACTTCAACAATCTGTTACGGAGGTTGTGATCCTGAATTGAGTACAGTGGCATAGTTTGAAATCTCCGCCACCCAAGGGAGACAATCAGAGGATTCCTGGTTTTCAGAATCTTCTTATACCATCTGTGTTTCTTGACTCGAGCCTGGAGACCAACAAGGAGGATGGCATGATAGAAGAAATGGGCTTCACACATTGTACTCATGTGGGGACACAAACCCGGGTCTTCAACGTGACTAGCAAACGCTTTCATCACTAGACTTCCCCACTGCCCCACTCTCTTAGGCATTCACAATGTTTCATGAACACTCTCATTCACTAAAATATCATCATTCTCATTCTCCCAGTGATCCACCATGTTCACAATCATTCAATCAGTAAATGACTCACCCACACACCATCTTTCCCACCATGAAAGTCAATGACTAAGTTTCACGATCACACAATCATTCTATCAACGCCTCATTCAGTCTGACAAACATTCAGCCCGGAACTCACAGCCTCACCTACCTGAACATATCCGATGTTGACCTCCACATTCTGCAGACCACCCACTACCACAGGATAGGAAGGGTCGAAGTTCTCCACAAACTCGCAAGGCATGTCGTTAATCTCCATCCTCACGTACATTCCAGGACGGAAGCCTTCGAAGTGAACCCTCTGCTCATCTCCAAGCCCCTCAAACTCTGCTCTGTTTAACTGAAAAGCAGCAGGATAAATGCAAGTGACTTCAGAACACTCCCCAAAATAAGACAAACATGAGAGTGAGTGTGACAGCAAGGTTTTATCGGCGTTTACTCCAGCAATATGATGGCTTTGGCCACCTGAAATATGCTTTACATCCTTGTACATAAAATACATGCAAAGACATATAGAAGAAGCATTATACACGGTTCCATGTGGGGAATTGAACTCAACCTTCGGCGTGATGAGTGAACATTTTTCTTAAAGTAAAGCTTTGACACTGCATTCATCTCAGTAACTAAATGTTCATAATCCCTTGAAGACGTATCTTCACAAGACACGTCATGTGCCCAATGTTGTGGCACTTCCATAAGAAATTATTGACAGAAACTGGAACACAAAGTTTCTCCAACCTCTCTTGAACAGTCATACAAGTTGGTTGTCATTTATTCCACCATGAAGTTTTCTAAAGCCTTGGAATCTTAATTTGCAAAACTAATATCCCCAAAGCAGACTATAGGGGATGCATGGAACAGAGAGAATCAATGATAACTTTCAAGGATAAAGGATAAACTGCCAAAACTCCAAATGTTTCTATTCCTGTTGTTCTACAGACATATCTAAACCACTTCTACGCAGTGAAGCCCTATTGATCAAGAAGCTACTATGCCTAGTAAGTACATCTTGAGACCAAACAATGTTTGAGTTACAAAATGCTGTTGAAATCTGTACAGGAATGTAGAAGTTTCAAAAAGAGTTGTCCACAAAGCAGAAATGTTCATTGGAGACCGTCCTGCCATGATTACCTCGGACTGTTTCTGCAGGTCTGCCTTCCACGTGTCGTAGAACTCGGAGTCCCCTTTCATGTCATACTCCTGGTCAAACATCTCCTTCAGCTTCCTTTTCTTCTCTATACGACGCTCAGCTGCCGTCATTTCGGCTTTAGTCTTCTTCTTAGTCTCCTCTTCCTCACCTTCAGACAGGAATATACATAAAGTAAACACTTGCAAGGCCTCATGCTTTATCACATCAGACTTAATAGAAGAAGGATGGATAACATGGGTTCAATCAGCAATCAGTATCTACGCACCATGACCATATCTACAGAATAAATTGGGCCTTGAAAGAACAGACTTGTGGAGAGAGTCGGTGTGGAAATGACAAGTGGTTGAAAGAGGACAAGTCTGGTCCAGAAGTGACAAAGTGATGGTTAATATTGAGAGTGTATCATATTTGACAATGACAAACCCATTACCCATTTATGAACATCCCTAGGTACATTTGGACATAGTTCATACTGGAATGACAATGGAAGCTCATTAATCCAAAATATTAACTCTGCTTCATGTTAGTAAATATTTACCTTAGATAGTTTATTTCATCACCCCAAAGTTAATACACCAAGAAAATTTCACTCTTGCATTTATCTATCTCAGCACACCTACCTTCTTTCTTCACTCCTTCATCTTCACCATCTTTGTCCTCCTCCTCCTCCTCTCCATCGCTTGTCTTCCCCTTGTGCACTTCCCCGGTCTCCAAGTCTTCAAAATCTCCGTACAGCTCATCTACAGCACAGCAGTCATTGAATATTGATAGAGAAATGCGAACAAACCTTTGTGGAAAAGCATTTTGCGATAGCGCGTAAAAGTCTTCAAAGTCTCCGTGACAGTAAGAGTGAAAACTGAAATTCACCTTTGTGGAAAAGTTCAGTTGTGTGCAAATAATCCTGGAAGCAATGATGTAATGAACTGTATATGTACTGCAGGATGTTACCATGTGCACTTGCTACTTGGAATGTTACCATGTGCACCTGCTAATGTGGAATGTTACCATGTGCTACTTGGAATGTTACCATGTGCATCTGCTACTTAGGAATGTTACCATGTACACCTGCTACTTAGGAATGTTACCATGTACACCCGCTACTTTGGAATGTTACCATGTACACCTGCTACTATGGAATGTTAACATGCACACCTGCTACTATGGAATGTTAACATGTGAACCTGCTAATTTGGAATGTTACCATGTGCTACTTTGGAATGTTACCATGTGCACCTGCTACTTTGGAATGTTACCATGTGCACCTGCTACTTTGGAATGTTACCATGTGCACCTGCTACTTTGGAATGTTACCATGCACACCTGCTACTATGGAATGTTACCATGTGCACCTGCTACTTTGGAATGTTACCATGTACACCTGCTACTATGGAATGTTACCATGCACACCTGCTACTATGGAATGTTACCATGTGAACCTGCTAATTTGGAATGTTACCATGTGCTACTTTGGAATGTTACCATGTGCACCTGCTACTTTGGAATGTTACCATGTGCACCTGCTACTATGGAATGTTACCATGAGCACCTGCATCTATGGAATGTTACCATGTGAACCTGCTAATTTGGAATGTTACCATGTGCTACTTTGGAATGTTACCATGTGCACCTGCTACTTTGGAATGTTACCATGTGCACCTGCTAATGTGGAATGTTACCATGCGCACCTGCTACTTTGGAATATTACCATTTGCACCTGCTACTATGGAATGTTACCATGCGCACCTGCTACAATGGAATGTAACCATGTGCACCTGCTACTTTGGAATATTACTATGTGCACCTGCTAATGTGGAATGTTACCATGTGCACCTGCTCATTTGGAATGTTACCATGTGCACCTGCTAATTTGGAATGTTACCATGTGCTACTTTGGAATATTACTATGTGCACCTGCTAATGTGGAATGTTACTATGTGCACCTGCTACTTTGGAATATTACCATGTGCACCTGCTACTATGGAATGTTACCATGCGCACCTGTTACAATGGAATGTAACCATGTGCACCTGCTACTTTGGAATATTACTATGTGCACCTGCTAATGTGGAATGTTACTATGTGCACCTGCTACTTTGGAATATTACCATGTGCACCTGCTACTATGGAATGTTACCATGCGCACCTGCTACAATGGAATGTAACCATGTGCACCAGCTACTTTGGAATATTACTATGTGCACCTGCTAATGTGGAATGTTACTATGTGCACCTGCTACTTTGGAATATTACCATGTGCACCTGCTACTATGGAATGTTACCATGCGCACCTGCTACAATGGAATGTAACCATGTGCACCTGCTACTTTGGAATATTACTATGTGCACCTGCTACTATGGAATGTTACTATGTGCACCTGCTACTTTGGAATATTACCATGTGCACCTGCTACTATGGAATGTTACCATGCGCACCTGCTATTATGGAATGTAACCATGTGCACCTGCTACTTTGGAATGTAACCATGCGCACCAGCTACTTTGGAATATTACCATGTGCAAGTGCCATTACATGATGCCACCGTGTGTATGTTGGAATGATATGAGCCATTTCACCCACCATCTTCCTGGAGTCTTGCCGCTGCATCTTCACTCTTGTCCCATTTCCCAGTCACAAAACAATCACGTATAAGCAGGCGTACCTACAACAACAGATATCATGCACATGTTTCCCTCTCAACTAATCGTATAAAATATCAGCTCTTATCACAATAGAATGGTATTACGCATATTTCAACACTGTTGACTTGAAGACCAAAGATGAATATATATATATATGTACTAAAACCAGTAATTGGTGACAGTTAGTATAATCATTGTGAAGTAGACAGTATTTATAATCCGATATTATACAGTAAACTCTTTTGTGAAAACAAAACAACTTTGTTTGCTTCAAGCATCACCAACCTCCTCCAGGTCCCAGTCGTGCATGCTGTCCTCACAAAACTTGGAACAGTCCATGTTGTTTAATCTCGAATTTCCCATCCTCCCCTTGTCCTTCTTCTGCTTGAGCACCCTGAACAGACCTCCCACCTCATCCGTGTCCTTATCCGCTTCTTCCTTCACAGTCTCCGCTTCTGTTACCATGGTAACATAAATGTCATAGAAGTGAACTTATCAAGGTATGATTAAAGCTGTATTGATCAGTGCAAGGTAAGTCATGTGTGCACATTTCAATATCTGGACTGACAGGACACCCAGTATGAACACAACATCAGACATCAGTTCACAGATGTTGAAACTTTGTTTACCCACATGGTGCATAAATAACCAGCTTCAGTCACTCACAGGACAAAATATATATGTATTTGACATTAATGAGTCCAATGAAATTACGAAGCAGATTCAAGCAGCTTTGTTACAGGGAGTATCCCAGATATTGAAAATTTTAACTATAAATTGTATATTTATATACTTATCCTATCTCACGACTTGCACCTCTCTCTCTTCATTCGACCATGAGTGGAAACGAATTAAAACTTTGCTCCAAGGCCTACCTTGCCCCCTCTCCCGTGCTGTGCGTGCCTTCTGTGTCAGTCGTGCTCACTAGTCCATGACAGCACGAGGCATGCGCAGTCCTCACCCACGTGATCACCTCACATACTCATTCTCGATCTTGGAGCCATAAAAGGACAAAACCGGAACGGTGGTAATCTATGTAGTGGGGAGGTAGGGAGGGACTTTATCGCGTGAGATAGGATAAGTATATAAATATACAATTTATAGTTAAAATTTTCAAATTTTTAAACTTATCCTATCTCACGACTTGCACTTATCCCACGGTAGGAAGGTGGGTCATAGATTACCCGAAATTCAAGCGATAACAGCTAAGTGTTATGCCCAAACAACCGTAGGAAGCAACTACAAGGTAGGCCAATAACTACCAAGTTACTACGTGCGAGGGTTAGTTCGAACCCATTGACTTACTAAGCACAATTGCTCCCAGGGACCGGGATTCCCGAGCAATGTGGTGTTCAGTCACTACCTTCACAAAGTGAAAGGACGTAGCTTAACGAGTGTAATCAGTCGCATCGCCACGATTTCCAAGGTACCCCCGTAATAAAAGTCTAACGACTAGTATCGGGCCAGCCCCTGCTTCGAAACAACCCCCACAGACACCGTCCCGAGGAGGGTGAAAGAGAAATTGAATCGGTAAAACTCACAATTTTAACGTTCAGTACCACAACATCATCTTATGACTTCCATTACTTACCACAATAAGATCACATAGATGTGTATAGGCACTTAGGAGCATGAACGCTACGAAGTGTAACACTTCGGGAAGGACTCACTTCACTGACTTAATTACTCCGTGGAGCAGAGGACAGTAAGTGAGGTGGCGACTCTCTGTAGTCTCAAACAAATGAGAGGAGAAATCTAAATCCCGGAAGACGTAAATCAGAAAAAGTTTTTCAGATTTATTCAGATTGTACACAAGCAGAAACGATCGCGACTTGGGATCAACTGCACAGTGGGATCCATATAGCATCGGAGCACAAGGAAGTTCATTATCTGCGATGTTGTGCCGCTGATAACTGCTGGGCAAGGACGAGTGGTCCAAACTGATGAAGGCCTTGAATATCCGTCACCGACACATCTCTGAGGTAATGAGACGAAAATACTGTGTCAGATCGCCAAAAACAACCCTCCATTATGGCAGTTAACGAGCAGTTGCTATGCAACGCCATAGTAGAAGCCAATGCCCTGGTTTCATGAGGGTTGACTGCCGTAGGTGGTGGCAAACCGGCAAAAGTGTAGGCTCGTAGTATTGTAGCTCGTAGCCAATATGAGAGTGTTGTGCGAGAGACTTCCGCCTTGGAAGCAGTAGACAAGGGTATAAACAGTCTCTTACGCAGACGGCGGCGCTCTTGCGATGCTTTAAGGTAACGCTACGAAGTGTAACACTTCGGGAATGACTCACTTCACTGACGTAATTAATCCGTGGAGCAGAGGACAGTAAGTGAGGTGGCGACCCTCCAGCGTCTCAAAAGCGAGACCTGCAATGGTCAGTTCGAACCCATTGACTTACTAAACACAAGTGCTCCAGGGACCGGGATTCCCGAGCAATGTGGTGTTCAGTCACTACCTTCATGAAAGTGAAAGGACGCAGCTTAGCGAGTGTAAACAGTCGCATTACCACGATTTCCAAGGTCTGACGACCAGTATCGGGCCAGCCCCTGCTTCGACACAACCCCCACAGACACCGTCCCGTGGAGAGTGAAAGGGTAATTGAATCGGAAACTCACAAGTCCCAGAAGAATCGAAGACACAAATCAGAAATAAAATTCAGAATTTTATTCAGATTGTACACAAAGCAGAAACGATCGCAACTGGTGATCATCTGCGCTGAAGCTGATGGTTGTCCCGAGTGCCGAACAGGCGATAATGACAATGCTGAATTCCAATTCGTTGTGATGAAGGGCCCTTTCTCCTGATGACCACTGCTAGGCCACTTGATGGAGAAAGTGAGCGCCCCAGCTTGCAAGATGTGCCAACGAATAGGTGTTGAGTCGGTATGAAGGGCACCCTAGAGACTCCAACACAAACATTCCACTTGTTGAGCCACCAACGAAAGACTGAATGTAGTTGTGCGGGAAGACGAATCAACTCCCTGGGGTTGTCGTCCCCGATGTATGGGCACAGAACCATCTGAAGAGGGCAAGCTGCAGCTGGCCCCTGTCAGTCAGCACTTGTGCCGACGCCAACCACCCTAGTAACTTCTGCCACTGGCGAAAAGGTGTGGGTTGGACCAACACTAGTGGTGCGTTGCACTGAATCTTGTCCCACCTCTCCTGGGGCACAAACATCATGACCTGGCGTGTTGAATATTGTCCCAATAAGAAGAAACAGCGGGTCGGTGTTACCCCTGATTGCTCCGAATTTAGCAGCCATCCTAATTGCGTGAGCAACTTGATGATGAACTGTCTGTGGAAAGGAAGGACGACTGGATCCTGCTGGGCTTGAACACAGTCGTCGATATTGTTGTCAATTGTCACGCTTCGACAATGCAGGTAGCTGGTTATCAGAATGGGTATCTGAGTAAAAACCCACGGGGCTGCGCATATGCCCATACAGCAGGATCCTCCATTGGTATCAATGACGCCCCATAAAAGTAAATCGAAGATACTTCCAATAGTCTGGATGTATCCGGATGTGAAGGTAGGCGTCTCACAGGTCGAGGGACTGACTGACTGACTGAGTTTAGTTTTACACCGCCTTTAGCAATAATCCAGCAAAATCACGGCGGGGGGCACCAGAAATGGGCTTAACACATTGTGCCCATGTGGGGATCGAACCGGGGTCTTGGGCGTGACGAGTCAACGCTTTAACCACTAGGCTACCCCACGGCCATCGCAGGTCGAGGGAAATGAGAGGTCTAACCACTCTTGCCTCTGACAAAAAGATATCTCCTGATATAAGAACGTTCAATAAGTCGAGCAACTACGTCAGTTCTGACGGAGTGCTCAATGTAGTATGTTCGGCGCATGGAGATTGTCAGTCAATCTACAGGAACGTTCACATTATAAACAAATTGTAGAAATTCGTAGGATCGGTGACCTCAGGAACGTTTCTTTTGGCCGAACAAAATAATGGTGCGCCAGGTGGAGTGATATAGGTAGTAGATCGCTGCCTGGTGACAATCCTTGCATAATGCAGTGACCTCTGAACTCAGTGCTTGACTAGGCAAACCGTTCACGGGTGTTTCTGTCCGTCACCCTCAATAAGCAGTCTCTCTCGACTGGCTGTCAAAATCCCGACACAGTCACTCTTATCGGGAATGGCAGCGTTCGTTGTTACTTGCATTTATAGGCTGGACTTGGTATCCGATTCGTGGGACCAAGAGAATTCTGCAAGGGCACTTCATAGTCACTCTAATCATCAAAATTCCGGTAAACAAACAGTAGTCCGCCATTTGCAAACGTTACACACGAGTGACAAAAAATACGGACAACATGGTCTTTGGTTAACCGGGCGAGTCGCAACCCATAAATTCCGGGCTGAGCTATGCTGGCTATTTGACAAAACATTGCCGGTACCATGCGCAAGAACTTCATCCATTTGTTATCTGTCCAGAAACTTGCTTATCATGTAAAACAAAGGGAGCTGAAGATGACGAGCCGTCTGCAACAATTGCACCAAGGGATACACAAACACGCTGTTACGAGTAGTCTGTAGTAACAAGACTCATCGGAGCGTCGTAGAGTATTCCTGGCTCGCAAGCGTATCTAGTTATGCCATATCGGGTGGTTGCAGAACTGATATCTACACCGAAGGGTAGAATCGTTGAACCGAATCATTCATCAAAAGTGAAGATCGGATGGTAGATTAAATCTGGAATGAGATGAGCCCCAGTCACGGAGGACTCTTGAGAACTGGGATCATCAGGCCGTCAAGTGCCGAGCGTGATATCTCTAGATGACTGCGCTACTAACAACACATGTAAATCAAATCGGCATGGTGAAGCACATAGCTACTACCTCTGTACATTGATCTTGAACGGCCAGGTGAACTGGTTCGACGATAGGGAGCTTTCGACCTGGTGAAACGATACGAGCCGGCTGGTAAATCAGTTCAGGGTGGTGAGCCGGAAAGTTGACGTGATCTGAATCAGTCCGATGTGATCTGAATCGTGACTGATCTGGATCGGTTCGGTAATCCGAAACGGTTAAATGATCTCAGCTGATGGAGAGATCTAGAACGCTCAGATGAACCAGTGAGGCGAGGTGAAATGTTCCGGCCGAGGTGAATCGTTTCGTTGCTGTGAATTGAATCGATGATGTGAACTGTTTCGGCGATAAGAAACAGTCTTAATATTATGGCAAACTGAGTCAATGTCGTATTCACATACGGCGTGGCGAAACGGTTCGGTCTGGTGAATCCATTCGTGTATGGCGAACCGATTCGGTGTGGTGAATCGGTTCGGTCTGGTGAATCCATTTGGTATGGTGAACCGATTCGGCGTGGTGAACCGGTTCGGCAATTTGATGGTACGGTCTGGTGAAACCATTCGGTATGGCGAGCCGATTCGGTGTGGTGAATCCATTCGGTATGGCGAACCGATTGGGTGTGGTGAATCCCTTCGGTATGGCGAACCGATTGGGTGTGGTGAATCCATTCGGTATGGCGAAACGGTTCGGTCTGGTGAATCCATTCGGTATGGCAAACCGATTCGGTGTGGCGAATCGGTTCGGCGATTTGACGAAGTAGATCGGATGTGTGAGTCAACTGGCAACACAGAGCGTTTTGATGAGGCGGAACCACGAGAAGACATCTAATGATGCGCCCATAAAATTATCACCGTCCGACATGGGAAACTGCGGACGACGAGCAGTTAATACCGGTCGTTAAAAGCGGGGGTTTGTCGGGTGATCAACTGTTGAAGTGTAACGAGCTCTGACTGCCAGCCATCGGGAGCAAGTATGTCTACATGCTCTAAAAACGTCCTTAATAAGGGAGCACATTCCCGACAACGTTTGCTCCAGGAACATGACGATTGGGGATCCGAGGAAGTAAATATTGTTACAGTGTGCGCAAAATTACGCTACTGAGTCTAGACTGACAAGACGGGATATCCTGATTCACCTAAAGTGAATGAGACCGACTTCGAGAATCACTCTGACGAAAACACACCTTACGGCTAGGTGAACCGGATCGAAATGGCCAACCACCTCGACCAGGCGAGACTGAACGACTACGGGAATCAAAACGCTGATGGTGTGTCGAACTGAAACCTATGTTGAGGTGAACTGAGTCGGGAATGTGAACCCGTTCGTCCTGGTGAACCCCTTCGAGTACGTGAATCAGTTCGGTCAGGTGAACCCATTTGATTACGTGAATCAGTTCGGTCAGGTGAACCCATTCGAAGATGTACTGGTGAGCCGGCTCGGCCGTGTGAGCCGGTTCGGCAGGTTGAGCCGGTTCGGCTGTAATGAGCCGGTTCGGCCATGGTGAGCCGGTTCGGTATGGTGAGCGGTTCGGCTGTGAGCCGGTTCGGCGTGGGTGAGCCGGTTCGGCAGGGTGAGCCGGTTCGGCCATGTGAGAGCCGGTTCAGGGTGAGCCGGCTCGGGAAAGTGAACGAGACCTAGAACGACTCCTCCCAGCCGTGGAAATAGGAGAGCGGGTACGTTCCAACCGCGCCGATCCCCGCTTCAACGATGAATGCTTAGAAGTTCTCGAAGTCTGTGATCGTTCCGAAGAAGCAGACCTACGAGATAATGTAGATCGCAGGTCTGGCGTAGAAGAAATATCGGTCATTACCACCCTGGTACGCTCATGAGAACTTAAACTGGGTGAGGGAAGCTCCCTAAAAGCCTTCTAACGTTCTCAGATAAATAGGAATCCGACGAAGCGTCCATAAAATCTTCGTCAGGAGAGACGGGCGATTGAGAACGGTGAGCAGTGAGGGTGGGGCGATCTAAGCATTGTTTCTTAGCGGGAGATGGACCAGACCCCGCAGAATTAGTCCTAGCCCTATCTGCCAAACGTCTGGCACAAGCACGTTTGTAAAATTTAAACGCCTCATTAGACAGACCTGAACACTTCGGACAGCGTGTGTCCCAGTCACAAACACCCACATAATCAACACACGATGTGTGTGGGTCCCATGCTGAAAATACTTTATTACAACGGGCGCAAAACATCCGTTTACTGGCCTGAACAGGCTTAACCATTTTGAGCAAATCTCAGACGAAAAAATTTTCACGTCCACTCAGTGGAGCGACAAGAAAGAGAATGAGTATGTGAGGTGATCACGTGGGTGAGGACTGCGCATGCCTCGTGCTGTCATGGACTAGTGAGCACGACTGACACAGAAGGCAGTGCTCGTTGGAAGTCCAGCACGGGAGAGGGGCAAGGTAGGCCTTGGAGCAAAGTTTTAATTCGTTTCCACTCATGGATTACATGAATTTCAGGAAGGTGAAAGAGAGAGAGGTGCAAGTCGTGAGATAGGATAAGTTTAAAAATTGCCTTTGCAGCAAGGTTGGTCTTCCACTGCAGGCCTGCAGACAGATTTACTGTTATTACACTTCATCTGCTTTGTTGTGAGGCTATGTACCAAAGTCAGATGTTAAAACAAAAACAAAGAAACTATCCATATCCATATGCCTCAGGAATGTTTTACATTAAATAATCACTTGGCAAATGTTTTCACACTTACCATGCTTATAAAGGACCAAACATTCACACCAGTCACTCACTGAACACAGTATAATTAAATCTTTGTAATGACATTTATATATCTGATTTCTGAGACAATCTATCATATCTACAGTAAACAAATGGTTTCATCTTGTTAACATTATCAGGGATAGAAATACTTTTTTTTCTAAGTGTGCCTTAGGGCACCAGACAAATATTTTAGTTGTGCCTTTCAGAAATTGAGTATGTCCACATGTTTTTATAATAAATGACAATGATGATGATCATTTGAAATTTATTGTTAAATAAAGAAATGGGTTATGAGCATTCAAAAATGAATGGTATTATTCAATTTGGAAAAAAATAATTGTTTGGGGGATTAAATGACTAAATGTGAGTTATGTCTCTGAAAAATCAGGCATGTCAAAAGGGCACCGAGAACATTTTTTAGCAGTGCCATTTCAAGATTTACCATGCCATGGCACACTAATATATGGGGTATTTCGAACCCTGAATTATTCTCACCATCTTCAGGTACTTCCTTGATGCCATCCAGTTCTTCCTCCTCTGACACATTTTCTTCACTACTATGACCTTCCTTCTGATCAATACCCTTCTTCTTACCAATCTTCTTCAGCAGTTTCATCTCTTCATCTGAGTCATCTGAGCTTGAAGAAGACTCGCTTTTTCTGAATTTGACATGTCTTCTTCACCTGACACAGACTTCATCTCCACTTCATCAAACTCAGGAACTAAGGAGTTTTTGAGTTCAAGTTTGGACTGTTTATTCACCTTTTTATCAATTTTCACCTTTACATGTTTCGATGATTTGTTAACAACATCAGTCAATAATTTGTCTGGCTTTTGTTTCCTTATTAACATATTTTCATTGTCTTTGTGCTTTTTTGAGTTAAAAGGTGATTTAGAAATGTCCGAAGTTTCCTTCTTAGAAACAGATTTAGGTGGATCTGTCTTCTCTGCCGTGGAGCCAACACTTTTTAAGTCTTTCCTTTGTACTTTACTGACACTCACAACAGCATCTGTATCCATCTGGTCTTCATCGCTGTCTTCATCCGCCTCATCACTACCATCACTTTCATCATCATCTTCACTTTCATCACTCTCGTCTATATTGTCACTGTCATCACTTTGGTCCACCTCCTCACTTTCATTGTCATCCTCACCTTCTTCATCCTCACTTCCACTGTCATCCTTACTCTTATTGTCATTATCTTTTTCCTTGACTATTTCATCAACCTCATCATCACTCTCCAAATTAAAGTCCAACCAGACATCATTGTCTTTCTGGGACGTCAGTTTCCTCTGTTTCTGAGTTACACTCCCATTCTGCTCGGGTGTCTGTCCCAGTTTTGACACAGATGTATTTTTGAAGAGTTGTATCTCATCGTCACTGTCTGCAAACACTACAGCCTTCTCTCTCTGCTCACTAGTCACAGCCTGTATAAATGTGAATGGAACAGAGTGAAATATGTCTGGACCTTAACCATCCACCTGGATGTGTATATGAGCAGGCAAACCTGAAACCAACTAATCCCCATTTCAATTACCTCAGATTAAAATCAACATTGTGGAATACCACTCAAGGACCTTATTCTGAGAGTAGTTTTCTCCCGGCATTAATTTTCTACATAGCATTAAAATCAAAATGCAAATCTTACAACAACAAAAAATGACTAAAGCAAGGCAAGACTGCAAACATTTCAGCTATTTTAATCGGTCTAAAACCCCAGGGAGTGAAAACTGCTAACACAGACAAGTACCCATGGTAATCTTGGAACTTTCTCTCTACTGCTGCCTTTTCTTATTTATTACACATTTCTTTTGTACCCTCAGCCCATATAAGAAGCCAAGTGACAACCAACCAATAGATACAGGTTGCTGAATGGTAATTTAAAAAGCAAATGCAGGTATGATCAATTCTGATGCAGCTTGAAGCATTCTATAGTGAGGCTACTTGGGTCCCACATTCGCATGGTAACCTGGAAATCATAATCTTAAAAGTGGGACATTGACAACTATAATTGCTACAAGAGCATGATATAACATTCAATCTGAAACAAAGCATCTGATACCCTAAAGCAGAAGATAAAACGCATCAGTTGGGACAGATCTTATTTCAGTTCATATGAATTTAAAAAGAGAATCAGATTGTTGTTTAAAGCCTCAGTCAGCAATATTCCAGCTATAGTGGCCTATATTTGAGTCTTCACCTGGGCCTCCTTTAACAAGCACTAAGGTGATCCTCAGTCACTAAGGTAACCTTAGTGCAATGTTAAAGAATGGGAGTTAAGGTTAACCTTAGTAAAGGTTGCTTCATGAAAGGACCCCCAGAACAAATCATTGGTCGATATAATGAACACCGATCTACGTACTTATAAGCTACAATCAACAAAGTTACAGAGTCTGAAGACCAAGCCCAGATTGCGGACCTACCCCAACCTAGGCTCCACAAGTACGTGCTATAGGAAACAATGTATCTGCTTCACAAACACTAATGTATACCATTTAAGACTTATCATTTTCGAGTACTCAATACATAGTGGAAGATGCCATCAGTTTATATTAAATTATGTTAAACTATTACCTCTTCATCACTGTCAGCCTCTTCTTCATCACTATCTTCATCATCTTGGTCTTCATCCCCACTAAACACCGCTCGCCTCCTAGTGCGACCATCACTTGTCTGCACTAACTCCTCTTCTGGTAAAAGATTGCTCTGCCTGCAAGAAAATAAACAGGAAGTTATTTCACTAGTCAAAATTTCTAATCCGAAATTGTCGTATATATTCTCACATTTTCATTCATGTATGAACCTAAGAGCTATCAAATAGAACTAAAAAAATGCTCAAATGAATAGATTCTGAAAAAAATTATTCTCAGCCAAAGATATCTGATTCCAACTTAACAGTTAATACTGACATTTGCAGCAGACATAGAGCTGAATGTTAGCCTATGAGAGGCCTAGATAAATACCTATACAACTCGTCATGACACATTGCCTTTGCTACTCACCCGGCCACATGTTCATCGTCATCTTCACTACTGCCATCATCTGCATCAGCTGACTGGATCGGAGCTGTGTTTGTAAACACGCTCATTTCACTTGCTGTCAGTTTCTTGTCGATGGGGTTGATCATCTCTATCAGCTGAGCCACCATCTTGTTGCCTGGTGTTTTGTCCTGTAACCATGGTAACCACACCATCTTGACAACAGTCTGACATTAGGAGACTCCATTCTCAAGCGTCATCAATATGTAGGCAATAAATGCCCAATCAGCAATAAACCAGCTATTTAACAAGGACCTGTGACCAGGGCAAGACAAACAAGTGGTCGATGTTATGACCAATGGTCCAAGAGATTCAGGTAAAATGATGCAAATTAGCCACATCAAAGACTAAAACCACCTGATTCATATTTGGTCTCCTCTTGTGACGTGTATTGGTCTTATTCTACTCAGTAATCCCAGACCGCCTCCGTGGTGTAGTGGTTAGAGCGTCCGCCCGGAGTGCGGAAGGTCGAGGGTTCGATCCCCGACTGCGTCATACCAAAAGATGTTAAAATATGGTACTTGTTGGTCCCTGCCTGGTGCTCGGCATTAATGGGTACAACAAGGACTGGTCGGCTCGGAGTCAGTATAATGTGTCTGAGTGGGGTATTCATGCTTCACTGCGGCATGGTATCACAATGGGCTAGCACTATAAAACCAGCTTCAGTCTGGGCTAGTACAACCAGCCGCACATACACACGCATGCACGTCGTCATATGAGCGAAATATTCTCAAGCACGACGTTAAACCCAATTCCACCACCACCACCAGTAATCCCAACTGAAAAACTTTGGGAGTGTTTATCATTGTCTCCGACTTATGAGACATTGTCAACATGTGCTTTTTCTTGTTTAACTCTTCATTCAGCAGTATTTCAGCTGTATGAAGCAGCTTGTAAATAACCAAGTCTGGACCAAACAATTCAGTGATTGAAATTGGAATTAATTCATCAGAATGCGAAAACATGAAACACCAAGTGTGACACCCAATCCATTACAACCAACACAGGTTGCTGGGGACCTATTGTAACCAAGAATTTCAACTGGCAATATGCATAATAGTATTTAATAAGGGTAAATATATTTGCTTTACAAATATACCACTGTGATGACAGTGTATGAAATAAGCAAAAAACCCAACCAGACATCAGGGCTGGTAACTTCAAAATGTTACCAGCCAAAAATGGATTTTACCAGACCAGACACCAACATATGGTGAATTTACTCAGTTGTATGGAACATTTTTACCAGACCATCGGGCTGGCCAGCTTTAGAATAAGACCATCCGTCAGAAATCTAGCCCGTCTCGGGCTGGCGGACGGGCGTTATTTCATACACTGGTGATGATCTGATCTATTGATTAGCAGCCTCATATGAACTAGTAGGACACCCTATTCAAATTTATTCCCGTAATATCATTGCTGGGGACATCAGAAAGGGGCTTCACACATTGTATCCAAACATGATGTACTGACAATATACTTCTCCCTGGAAGATGAACTAAAGCTTCAACCTATCTACTTGTGTCCTTCCTTACCATACCATGATCAGACATTAATAGCATAATGCCTACAGGTACTATAGAAGCTATGAGAGCTAACCACCTGTTCCTTAACACTGTGAGAGTGGCTGCCCCCCCCAGATCGATGTACACAGCGTCCTTGTCATACACGATGCCCCCAACTCCTGACATGGGGGCGTAGATGAACCGCTCCTTGTCATTCAGGGAGCGCCTCTTCTCTCTGCTGGGGGTCGGGCAGGGGTCAGGCAGGAACTGCATGTTGTGAATGTTGAAATCTCCACACCCTGGAAACATTTCATTTATTATTTGTTTGTTGTTTATTAACTCTGCACTCAGCAATACTCTAGATAACTGAAAGTGGTATGGAATCAGTATAGACCAGGGCCTAGATTTTCGAAGCTCTCTTAGCGCTAAGATAGTCGTAAGTTAATGTTAATGTATGGCACTTACGGCTATCTTAGCACTAAGAGAGCTTCGAAAATCTAGGCCCAGATCAAAGAAGTGGCTGACATCTGAACATAGCATCAAGCAAGTCATCAAGTCACCAGGCCTGACCTCCTGATCCAGTTAGTAGGCTGTAACAATGCAATTACCGGTAACTATACATGGATTGCAATTGTTGAGTATCCCATAGCAATTAATTGATGGTGGAAACGAAAAACTATCGATTCATCGATAGTATGTGTGACTATCGATAGTTTAGTAATTGACTTCGGTTGATAAATGTGCAGCGCAAAATACAGGTTTGGTCACAATAGACTATCGTTATTGCAATAGTATGTTGCAATAGACTATCGCTATCACAATAGTTGTTTCCCCCTCAATAGTCACCCCTACCAGTTAGTCACCGCTTACCACAAGCACAAGCTGCTGGGAAACTATAAACATTCTTATCCGGAATCCACAATTGCTGAAGCAATTAGACCATGATTCATTACCTACCATTACTCTCAGAATTACAGAAATATGATATAAAAGAACAATGTAACTGTAATTTTTCAATCATGCACAAAAGAATTTCATTAAGTATAACATGGAAACACTCTTTGACATGACACCCAGCCCACTGCTAACAGCTACCTGCAATGTGCACCATCTGTTGGTTCTTCATGTGTGTTCCCCGCACATAGCCATACAGGCACACCTTGCGGTCACACTTGGAGTCAAGACGCATAGACTCAGGGTTGGTGATGTCCTCCATCCTGTAAACATGGGAGAACCACTTCTATACACTGGGTCAGGCAGGGTTACAGGACAAATATCGGTAACTCTGTCAACATTGTTACCAAGCTCCTGCTGCCTTGACTCAAATTACCATGATATACAAACAGCAACAGAATAAAACTCCTACAAGACAGTCTAATAATAACAATAATAATAATTCATTTATATAGCACCAAGTATGAATCTGACTAGTTGCTCACTGGACGTTGTAATCAGAATCTGATTATTATTACCCCGGATAACCAAAGCTGCCTGTTAGGCGCCAGAAGGTTATAGTCAGATGACTTTATCCAACCAGGTACCCATTTTCTGCTGGGTGAACAGAGGCAATTTTGAACAAACTCACTTGCCTAAAGGTGAGACCACATGTATCACATGTGCTTCGTTGTTGAGCAGGACTGATGTCCTAGAAACTCTGTTAGTAATGTATGTACCTGTCAGCCAGCACATATGGGTGTGTCATCCTCCACAGCAATGGGCGGAACTTCATCACAGAGATAAAGCGACACAGATTATGCACCTCAGTACGTTGATATTCTCCATTGATCGTGCCAGACAGGTAAAACAACTTGGCTCCCTACAAAGCAATGATACAGTGCTGAGATGAAACTCCTTATATAATGTTTTACATAAGATTTGTACTTGTCACATGCAAGTTCTCATCATTCATATTTCTGTACATAGACACATACATCATTCATGTACTGCCTGCTTTATGTGTGTTGTGAAGCTGTCTATCGTGCAAGGAGGGAAAGTTGGAAGAGAGGACAGGAGAAACTGAGAAGGGGAGCTAGGACAAGAGGCAGGGAAGGAAGCAAGTTTTTCTGTTATGTAATGGCATGTCAGCTTGATGTTACAGAAAAGCCCAAACTTTATCAATATTAGCACTCTGGTACAACCCATATGCTGACAAGACTAGAAATATAATGACATCAAATCTAGGATTAAAACCAGTGATCATAGGCAAATTGGCATGCTTCAAGAAGAAAAACCGAAGAAACTATCTTATCACTTCTGACAAATAACCTGCTCTTTCCCTGTAACTACAGTTTTTTCCTGATTCCATGTGTCTGGAGTCTAGTGGACACTATGCTGACTACAGGCTTAGGTGGCTATTTACTGGTCACCTCAGTCAATATCTGCAAGGGCACTGATGGATATGGTACATCATACATATCCATTTGATAGGAAGCGTGTTGGCTTGTCTACACCACAAGATATACTAAAATAGGTCACCTGATAAATTTCTGTCCAAAACCTGTGTTTCATCCTCTTCTTTGTTTTCCTGATCTTCTTGCTGTCCTTGAACATGTCAAGGTGAGTTAGCACACCCATGATACGAGGAAAGCCGTGAACTTGGCAGATGTTGAGGAACTCAAATGTTTCCATCTCAAACCCAAAACTGGCATCCACCAGCAGCAGGATCTACAACATGTATGAAAACAGCCGTATCAAGGATCTGCCTGGGATTCAAGTGCCAATGGCAGGAACATTACATTGTTACAATTTGCATTTTATATGGGTCATATTTTCTCAAATTTCAAGCAAGTTAAACAATAAAATATTCCTTATCATGCCTTATCATTAAAATCCATACTCTTAAACAGATACCTTTACAAAGTGAGAAGATAATTTTGAACTATATTAACAAGAATTTGGATATTTCTTTTTATTCCAATGAAATATACTGACATTTTGATCTAGACTCAGAGCTGGTCTAGATAAACCTCTGCATATAGAGGGCAACACGTGGCATAGGTCAGTCACAACACAGCTGGTAGTCTCCTAGTTATCTCCATATGTGGTTGACTATCTAAGTCACTTTTACTATAATACTATTGCAAAATTAGTGTGATAGTAAAAGTGCTATTACATTATGGCACAAAAGATGAGTCAGTCTGCCAATATGACTGAAGAACATGGACATAGTCAGAGGACAACCTTCACTGTACATTTCTTTGCACAATTCCAGATTTCAAAGACAACAAGCTACCTGTTTTTTAAGGCACTTTAACTTAGGGCAGTAACGATGAATCGAACTATCGATGCATTGCAATTGTTAAGTCTTCGATAGCAATTAATCCATGATAGAAACGAAAAACTATCGATGCATCAATAGTATGTGTGACTATCGATAGTTTAGTAATTGACTTCCGTTGATAAATGCGCAGAGCAAAATACAGGAAGATTTGTTGCAGACTTGCAGCTTCATTGAGTTTATGTTTTAACTGTTTACTTGAACCTGGTTTCACGTATCTTGTCAGTTATTAAAAGAGATTGAAACTTCTTCAACTTGTTTTTTATTTCATATAAACTATGCATTCATTTGGGAAATGACTTCAAATGAGACAATTCAAGGCTATCGCTATCACAATAGTATGTTGCAACAGGCTATCGCAATAGTTGTTTGCCCCTCAATAGTAACCCCTACTTTAACTGCCATAGTTTCAGAATAACAGAGGCATTAATTTCAGTCAATTAAAAATTCCTTCATCATTTATTCTTACCAGGTCAGCAACCTTGGCCAGATCAATCATGCTGTTGATATCATTGTTACACTCTATGAGAGTGAGGCGTCGGTCCTTCCCTTCAACACACAAGTCATCATATCATGTAAAAATATTAACAAAAGTGTCATTATAGCACTGCCGGAAGCGCGCTCATAAAATCTCCATCTCACCACAAAATGTTTGCAAATGAGTGTTGTTTTATGCTTCAGTTTGCAAAAAATCAGGTTTCATCCATGTTGCATGCAAATACTCAAGTTCTGGTCATTAAACTGACTGACTGAGTATGGTTTTACACGCTTTTAGCAATATTCCAGCAATATCACGACAGGGGACACCAGAAATGGGCTTGACAAGTTGTACCCATGTGGGAAATCGAACCCGGGCCTTCGGCGTGATGAGCGAACGCTCTAACCACTAGGCTATCTCACCGCCCCTCTGGTCATTAAAACCAGCGACTAAAAGGATGAGTAATGTGTTTGACCTGGGGGCATGATGACACATACAGTAACCAAGGTAACTAGAAGCTTCCCATTTCAGTAAACTACCATGAATCATCACTGGGTAGACAGCATACATACAAAACATGTCACATATATACATAAAAACACCCAAGTCAGAAAATAAACATAATAATCTAGACGGGGAAAACAAGTATGAACTGGAGCAGGCTACAGACCAACAACTTGTTCAGATAATCACGTGTAACCATGACTGTTCCCTGCAGCCCTACTGGTAGTGTGTCCTCATTCCCTGATTTATTACCCACGAGGTCAACGTATTGGTAGTTGCATACTAATCTCGTACGTCACACGAGTGTCGTATCACGTTGACCTGTGTCGTAACGACTTGACCTGAGATTCTAATGATTTGATTGGATAACCGATGACCTCTCAATTAGGTCACATTCTGAGGCAACTCTTTTTTCATTCATAACAAACACGTGAATTCATTCATTCTACAACTTAAATGCATTGTGGGAATGTAAACATTGCGAACGTTGCCATGTCGCTGTTTAATTGTGAGTCGAACTGAGACATTATATCCGTTGAAAAACATAAACGCAATGTTTCCACCAGTGATATTAGCCAATTGAAGCAACTGGAAACCAAGAAACGAGGTGCTACGGAGAAGTTTACTGTAGGAGGCTGTACAAGGCGATGACAACTTACATGCATCGTGACGTCGGTTACCAAGGCAGTGACGTCATTACAGTGTGACGTCATGCAAAACTTGCACTAAAGTACAAAACTCTTCCGCAACCTCTTTATGAAACCAAAACATAACAAAAATACGCTATTTTGTCAAGTTAATGCATGTAAGACGTGGGTAATAAATAAAATACCGCACTCGGTCTCATTACATACGAATTATACGAAACTCGTGACCTTCCTATGGTATCTGACCTCGCTTTCGCTCGGTCAGATACCATAGGAAGGACACTCGTTTCGAATAATTCGTATGCAATGAGACCTTGTGTAGTATTCTCTATGTATGGACAGTTGTTCACAATATCAGTTACTGGTTTATCTGGTCCAGTCTTGATTATAAACAGACTGCTGTCATACAGATGGAACAATGCCTACTATTGCATTAAACAACAAACAAACTCTTGCAACCATGGCAATACTATCTGAAACGTGTGACTCACCTGATACAACTGTGACTGGTCCAGATATTTGAGACAGCTTCTGCTTGGCATAATTCTTCACAAGGCACTGCATCAGAGTGGACTTGCCCACCTTGGGTGGCCCAACTATGCCCACAACAACAGGTGGAGGCTCATCAGGTGTTCGATCCACAAGAGGGATGTGATGTTTCTTGGTCTTGTGATCAAGAGTTCTAACATAAAGGAAAATGTGAAAACATCATTTTCAATAAGAGTACAAGGGTTATTTTCAAGCAAATTGTATGCGTGATGGTTGCTACCATCAGAGTGGGATATGCCTACCCAGGCACCTGGTGTAATCACTGATGTTCAGTGACCCATATAATTCATATCACTATTTTGCTGTTTACACAAAGTGGAATTTGTTTCTGCTGACTCAGAGACTGATAATTCTCTACCATTGATATTTTGAATTTACAGTAAGGTGAATAGTTCAAACATGAAAAGCTTTGATTGAATCAATTCATATTTCAACAATTCATCATTAGTCCTGATCATGTTCATAGTTCAATATTTCATCAAGTTCATCATGTTCATAGTTCAACACTCTGGATACTCTAAACTGTTACTTACACAATCATTCACCTTTACTTAAACGAGTACACGCCTACGTGCTGAGACAAAGCACCATCCTACCTTTGAACACGTTTTGCAGTCTTGTTAGCTGACTGAATAGCAAAAGCTCTTGGGTTCCTCTGTTTGGCTGTCAGGTCTTGTTCATGTTTGTCTTTGGCCTTCTTCTTCTCTGCCTTTCGCCCAGCCTGTCGGACACGATGGGCCTTCTTTTTATCTTCACCTTCCATGACTACTAGAAAAAAGAAATGACTTGGTGAGGTGAGGTAAAAAGGGGTTAACAATAACATCTCCTACACGGTTATTACAACTGCATTGTAATGTGCACAACATGTGCATGCATCGCTGTTTCTACAAGAAATTAAAGTGAGTGAGTGAGTTTAGTTTTACGCCACACTCAGCAATATTCCAGCTATATGGCGGCGGTCTGTAAATAATCGAGTCTGGACCAGACAATCCAGTGATCAACATCATGAACATCGATCTGCGCAATTGGGAACCGATGACATGTGTCAACCAAGTCAGCGAGCCTGACCACCCGATCCCGTTAGTCACCTCTTATGACAAGCATAGTCGCCTTCTGTGACAAGCATGGGTTGCTGAAGACCTATTCTCCAAGAAATTAAAAAAGAAATTAGGACTTGCCCCTCAGCCAGAACCGATTTGACAAATGGCCAAGGCATCCAAGAGCTTGTAGAATTACAAACATTTTAAGGTGTTTCTATACAATACCACTAACAGGGTGTGTAGACTATCTGAGTTACTTTCTATTTTTGACTAATCTTGACTAGTACCAATTTCACAGTGCTAGCCAAATGAGACATTGGGCTGCAGTATTAAACGAATACCCTACTCAGACACAGCATCATATGATACCAGTCCTAGTGTTATACGTCTACACATTATATGATACATGTACCAGATGAAACTATCCCTTTTCTCATCATATAGGGGTGGTTTATCAGACGTGCGTAACCTATTAGGATACCCCATACTTGACCATAACACAGCCAACCCACTGAATGAAGAGTCAACATGGTCAAGCTATTCTTATCAACAAGTATCAACCACAGCAAAATCCAATGTTAGGCTTGATAGACTTGTACGTCATAGCTTCATGTGTTAAACTGACAGTCCATGTAGAGTTGCCTTAACGTCAACTGTCAACATAATGATTAAAAAATACAATAGTTTGACCCCCTTACAAGTCTTCAAAACATGTAGTCACTTCAATTAATGTCCATCTTCATTCATTCCACTGACCCTTGATTTGAGTGAGTGAGTTTAGTTTCAGGTCACACTCAGCAATATTCCAGCTATACGGCGGCGGTCTGTAAATAATCGAGTATGTACTAGACAATCCAGTGATCAACAGCATGAGCATCGATCTGCGCAATTGGGAACTCAGGCCCTTTGCTTTGATCAGGACCTGTTGATGTCGATGATGCAGATGGCAAGCGAAACGTTATCATGTATCACTTCGTGAATCTATGTTTGGTATCGACATGTAACCCGTACATACAACAAAGTGTAAGATAATCTACTACTACCAGTAGGAGTGGTGCCCTGGCTATATGTTATTTTATAAATTTATAAGCACAGGAACTGTCTGGAAATTAAATTATTGTAACGGACGATTTGTAAGTCACCGTTAATCAGGAATACACTTAAGAGTCTTAGTTGAATCGGTAAACATACCTGGAAATATGTAATTATCGTGATAATGCTCAGTTCCGAGTTACATTTCATCTGTAAACAACATATCTGGAGAACCACGTGGGGGCGGCCATGTTTGGTAAGGGAGATAATCTATGTTTCTTCGGCAAAACGGGTTACCTGCCTGATGCACACATGCAAAGTGTTGTGTTCGATTCGCATGAAAATGTCACATGTCAAGATTCTTGCCTGACTTTTTTTTTGCATTTATGTCTTTCATTTTTTAAGATAAAATATTTTACAGTACCCTTGGGATTATACTTTGAGGCATTTTTTTTATTTATTTTACGTCAAATCACATGAATATCTTCTCTTTGGAAATCTTTCAGAAAGCGCAGCTTCCTCCATCCTGGATAATCTCCAGGGTATACGTTACGATACCTCTCCACTATATATAGTGGAGAGTGATCGTAACGTATACCCTGGAGATTAAATATACGTTACGATCCCTCTCCACTATATATAGTGGAGAGTGATCGTAACGTATAACCTGGAGATTATCGAGGATGAGCTTCCTCTGGCTTGTACCGAAACCCCTTTCGTTTATGAAACAGAACCCAATATATTATTCTTTCTTCTTCCCCTGAGGTATACGTCTGGTAATATGGATCATTATGTACAATTAGAAACCAATATTTTTATATTTTGCTGCGGAGCCTGACATAATTGAGATTTCTAAATATAGAGGCTCATGAGACTATTGATTGTTTCTGTTATTTGCGTGGAAATTATATTACATTAAAGAAGAAATGATGAACAACCTGTGCTGGGCATACTCTAGGGCATTGGCTCTGGTACACTAACCTGTACTTTAGCGAGAAACTACGAAGGACACAAATGTCTATAACAGCAAACGCTACTCAATTAAACATTAGACACAAAAAGCGTCCGTAAAATATTTCGTGTTACCTCAACACGCAGCTCCGGGTAACATACTTGACTGACTGACTGACTGAGTTTGGTTTTACGCCGCTTTTAGCAATATTCCAGCAACATCACGGCGGGGGACACCAGAAATGGGCTTCACACAATGTACCCATGTAGGGATTCGAACCCGGGTATTCGGCGTGACGAGCCAACGCTTTAACCACTAGGCTACCCGACCGCCCCGTAACATACTTGAACGGTAGACAAGTGAGTGAGTTTATTTTTACGCCACACTCAGCAATATTCCAGCTGTATGGCGGCGGTCTGTAAATATCGAGTCTGGACCAGACAATTCAGGTATCAACAGCATGAACATCGATCTACGCAATTGGGATACAATGACAGGTGTCAAGTTTGTCAACCCAGTCAGCTTGCCTGACCACCCGATCCCGTTAGTTGCTTCTTACGACAAGCATTGGTTGGTGAAGGTACATTCTAACCCGGACATTCACGGGTCGAACGGTAGACAAGAGTGAAACATGGGATGATATGGGTATAACATGTACACCGCTTGTAACAGTAGTTGTGTTATACCTCAGCGAGTCAGCTTAATGAGGCAGGAAAGTTCGAATGCAGTGATGCAGGTCTGAGACGTTGACTACCTTGATGGAACCCACGAGCACAGATTTTGTGTAGTTTGCCATACAGACCCTGAAACAAATATATTCAAGAAAGCCCATGCAAGTGTACAATATGTGGCAAGTTTTCTGGCAGGCACATTATTATGACATTTTCTTTCTGCCTTTACTGTACCATCCTGTCTTTACTGTCATCCTGTCTTTACTGTAATCCAGCCTTTACTGTCATCCTGCCTTTACTGTAATCCAGCCTTTACCGCCATCCTGTCTTTACTGTCATCCTGCCTTTACTGTACCATCCTGTCTTTACCGCCATCCTGTCTTTGCTGTCATCCTGCCTTTACTGTAATCCAGCCTTTACTGTCATCCTTCCGTTACTGTCATCTTTCCTTTACTGTCTTCCTTCCTTTACTGTCATCTTTCCTTTACTGTCGTCCTTCCTTTACTGTCATCCTTCCGTTACTGTCACCCTTCCTTTACTGTCATCCTACCTTTACTGTCGTCCTTCCTTTACTGCCATCCTTCCTTGACTGTCACCCTGTCTTTACTGTCTTCCTTCCTTTACTGTCATCCTTCCTTTACTCTCTTCCTTCCTTTACTGTCTTCCTTCCTTTACTGTCTTCCTTCCTTTACTGTCTTCCTTCCTTTACTGTCGTCCTTCCTTTACTGTCATCCTTCCTAGACTGTCTTCCTGTCTTTACTGTCGTCCTTCCCTTACTGTCATCCTTCCTTTACTGTCATCCTGCTTTTAAAGTCATCCTGCGTTTACTGTCATCCTGATTATATTGTTATTCTGTTGTCTCTTGATTTCAATGTCATTCTGACGTTATTGTCACTTAGATTTCATTGCCATTTACTGTCACCCTGAATGTACTGTAATTATGTCTTTACTGTAATTCCGACTTTATCGTGTCGACTATCAGTAAATGGCTGGCAACCAATATAGATCAACCTGGAGGTTTTACCCTGATGATGGTCCTTAACGGCGTGTGTCATTGCTCATTCTACCTACCACCTGTTTATTTGATCAAGGTTCAGTTACTCACAACTATTTAGCTTTGATATTGTCAAATATACTTAATCCAGCAAAGATAGGACGTTTCAGTATTCCTCACGGGGAAACGTAAAACCTCAAATCAACACTATTTCACAGTGACGCATGAGCACATGCTCATGATATAGTCGGGCGATACAACTCAATACAATTAATATGTATCATGGGCATTTTAGGGTTTGCCGTTTTTACTTAGAAGGCAAATTTGATGCACGAAAAGTTTGTATCGAGGGATTAAGTTCCGACAACGGAATCTCGTATATGTCAAATTGTATTTCCCCTATTTGTTTCTGTAACCCGAATCTGTCAGATTTGGGATAAAACGAAACATTGTTTCTTAAGAAAGCAAATTGACACTGGGCATTTGACAGCAACTGTGTTGGTTACAAAACATGAAAATGTTTTCGTAAAATGTACATCCGTGAACAGTTGTGGCATAAAATTCCTTATAGACTATGAGAAGAATATGAGGCTGGTGTAAATGAAGTCTCGTGGGCCAAACCTAATTCCAAGAATAAACATAAGTATACGTTCCCGCATCTCCCTTGAAAAGATACAGGTGACGTGATGCTGGTTGCTTTTGAACCTAATTCTATGAAATTCAATTATCACTTCTTCATCGCGGAGAACACCTTTCGAAAGATCGTACTGTATAACTGGTTGAAGAAGCAGGAAGTGAAACATTCACACGAAGCGGACCATGTGCTTGAAAAACGACTGTGTCATCTCTAAAAAAATATTTTAACGCAATGGATTTAACGCTGTCTTCAAGATAATTGTAGTTAGATAGCAAAGTTAATGCACGTATATGTGTGTGCGTGCGTGCGTGTGTGCGTGCGTATGCTTGTAGTAGTCTGGACTAATGCCGGATTTACAGCGTTAGCTCACTGATCGAGACAGTTATACAAAGACACAACATACCTACTTAGAACCAGGGTCGGTGGGGTAGCCTAATGGTTAAGGCGTTCGCTCGTCACGCCGAAGGCCCGGGTTCGATTCCCCACATGGGTACAATGCGTGAAGCCCATTTCTTGTGTCCCCCGCCGTGATATTTCTGGAATATTGCTAAAAGCGGTGTAAAACTAAACTCACTCACTCACTTAGAACCAGTTCTTGTTTTATTCCCTTAATCTATTTAAAGCGCCAGGCTAGGTAACATCAAGTACCATATTTTAAAGCTTTTTGATATGACGCCTCAGGGATCGAACCACCGACCTTGCGTTCCTCGGGCAGATGACTCTAATAAGCGGTTTCACGCAGTGAATGAGTATGGCGTTGATGTTTGCAGTATTCCATCAATGACATCTTAATGTGGCACTTTCGGAATTGTCAAATCTAGTAAAAATGATTTTAATTTGTCGCGAGATGGCAACGCTCTTAAAAATACGTCAATTAGTCATGCATGCTGATGTCGTCAACGGCTTTAAAATGATGACGCAATTTATGTCAAATTTCCAACAGTATATCTTTGAAAACAGTTGCTATTTGAATGTCTTCCGGGGCGATGGGGTAGCCTAGTGGTTAAGGCGTTCGCTTGTCACGCTGACGACCAGGGTTCGATTCCCCATATTTGTATCATGTGGGGCGCCCATTTCTGGTGTCCCCCGCCGTGATATTGCTGGAATATTTCTAAAAGCTGCCTAAAGCTAAACTCACTCACTCAATGTCTTCCGTCGGGAACTTCGTGAAGAATTGTCATCCATTGTATTTGTTCAATTGCATTCTCACTGATGAGGAGTGACTGCTGAATTGCTTGGGTTAAAAAAGATACCAAGTAGCCAAGCACGTGTCCATCAATACGAACAATACGACCTAAAACGTCAGAATCCCAGAGGATTAAAAGCTGTTGATAAGAGTTAATAAAGTGTTTTGTCTATCTAAATGAATGCAAATATTATGGTCGGATGTTGTACAAGTTATATTAGTGATGTTCTGGTGGGGATATGGTATAACAGAGATTATCTGGTGTGGATATGGAATATTAGAGATGTTCTGGTAGGGATATGGGATAACAGAGATTATCTAATAGTGATAATAATAATTTGTCCATTTATATAGCGCCACAATACAGCATTTATGTTCATGGCGCTAACAATCAAAGCACAGCACATTATTACCCCGGATAAACCAAGCTGCTTGTTATAGGTTATAAGGTTATAGTCACATGACTTATCCCACCGGGTACCTATTTTCTGCTGGGTGGGCAATTTTGAACAAACTCACTTGCCTAAGGTGAGACCACATGTATCACACATGCTTCGTTGTGGGGCAGAACAGAAGTCCTAGAAACTCTCAGGAGTCAAGCTGCCAAACACGGTCACCCATCCAAGAACTTTCCCCGCCCAACGTTCACCTGATTTGTGACTTGAGCTCTATGCGTAGGACCACACACCACTACTGGTGGGGATATGGAATATTAGAGATTTTCTGGCGGGGTATGGAATATTGGAGGTGTTCTTGTGGGTATATAGAATAACAGAGATGCTCTGGTGGGGATATGGAATATTGGAGGTATTCTTG